GCTGTGAACGCACTAGCGGGTTTGTATCCCCCTTCCCCCCATCTCCTCCCAGCTCTCTCCTGCTAATGAGAGCAGCGTATCGATCCGCTCTTTGAGACTCTAGGCAGGTATAGTATGTCCTCTCTAAAGTGTGCATTTCCAGCGGCAAGTTCTGGCCCTCACCAGCCCTGGAGACCCTACAGACAGAGAGGGTTCAAGCATCAGGCAGTGATGAATGAGGCGGGCACTCATGATGGTTTGGTGGAAAATAATGGAGGGAGGAAGAGTGGACAAGGCATTTGGTGAGGTGGAAGGAAACTCGTGATTATTGTCCACTAGATGTTTGGCTAGCTAGTAGTTTGAATGCAATTGTGCATTTATATTTGTTTAGTCAGAGTGTATTGCTATTTGTAGTCAATTTTACCACAGCAGTTTGAGTTAAACATTGAATTCAGTAAGAAAAAAAGTGTGCATTATAAGCCATAATGGAGTCAGACTGAATGCTAGTTCAAAAAAAAAAAAAAAACAACATGCCTAAATGGCATCATTTCACAGGAAGAGCAAGATATTGCATTTTTGGTAAAGGATTATTAAAACCTTTTTTTTTTTTTTTTTTGGAATGTTGAGCATCCAATAATAAAGTAAACAGAGTCAGGTGATATTGGATATTTAGTTGTGCTTGCTTATTTCCATTATTTTTATTTTCAGATTAACTTTGCCATCTTCTATAACACACTTAAATGTAATCTTCTAAACCACAATAAAATGTAATGACACTGTTGAATGTAATATTGCAAATCTTAAAAAAAAATATGCAGTATATTTTCGACTTTATAATATTGAGATGTATTATAATATTGTGTTCACCAGTCCAATTTTTTTCAGACAAAATAGATTAAATAAGATTAAATTAATTAATTAATTAGTTTAATATACATTAATAATACATTAATTTATAAGATTAAAAAGCTTAAATAAAAAAATAATACATCTATTAATAATAATAATAAAACAATTATATATATTGGCCTATTTAATTAACTAATAATCTTAGTAATTATTAGTTTGTTTTTAATTTATTTGGTAACACTTAAAAATGATTTAAGGTTCCATTAGTGAAGGCTGGTTACTGCATCAGTCTAACAATAATTATCAGCTAGAATTTACCATTTAAAATCATAAGTATCATGGAATTGCTTTACTGTCACTTTGTTCACCACAGTAGTTTTTGTAAAGGCATTTTTTTTCTTTTGGCTTTTCCTACCCGTTCTTCATTCTTCACAACGCACTCTTTCAGCGGGTGGTCTCAAGTGTTGGATAACCAGCGACTGGCATGACTCCAGCTTCAGTCTGACCTGCAATGGCGCGCTGACCCAGGAGGCGAAGAGCGTTCTAAATGAGGTCTCGCTCTAATTTGTCATCCCTCCATTTTTGTATTATGTTTAGCAGGCACCATGTGGACAGATGATCTGGAGGAGAGGGAATGTGCGGCGGTTTTCCGTGGGTTCACATCTGGGAACGATTGCGTTCGCATACGCACATTGTTCATGTGGAATTGTTCTCGCAAACCTGACATACAGTACATGTTCTCGTTTCTGTTTCTCTAAATATTCTCACAATTTTCGCCCCAATGGCATTTCGTTTTGTACGTGATACTCGATTGGACAGATGCTGGAAGTTACGGATTGCTTAAAATAAGTGATGCGACATGATGATGATCACGGTTCCTTTCCATGTCTATAGCAGAATTCCCCATGTTTTGAAACCTACAAATATGAATTCCTAACTAGTTAGAGCTAGTTTGGTGAACACATTGCTGGTTAAGCTAGTGGGGAACCAGGTTCTTGCTGTTTGGACCGGTCAATTATTGTGATCTTTTTGGCTTAAAAGTGCAAGTAATCCTAAACTAGATGAGGTTAGGCAGTCTGGTGGGGACAAACTAGCACACCAACATCCAAAAAACACCATATGCTGGGCTTTTCAGCATGATAATGTTTAGGAAACTTCTCAGCAGATAGACGTTGTGATTATAATACATATTTATTCTACTGCAACTGCTGTATTTTGGTCGTTCCCCATGGTTTCTCTTCAAGACCCACAATCCTGCTCCTGACAAATCTCCCTGCGTCTTTGCCAGCTCTGAGTTTTTGAAGTGCTTTTTTTAGCAAATCTCCAGTTCCCCAATGGCTCCAGTAGAACACTCCAGAAACCCTCAGTGGTGGCTCAGCAAAATCCATTTCATTTCCGCCCAGCAGAGTCTCTTACTATCATCCCTCTGTAGCCCGTGTGTGGTATTAAATATTCATTTCATTAATGTCGGTAGGCATATCAATGCAAATCTCATTTTAATTTGACGTTACCGCATCTGTTTCAAATTTCTGTGAAGCATAAAGTTCTGCAAAAGTTCTGGAAACTGAACAAGCGCGCTTGCGTTGCCAGGTTTAGTAGCGGAGAGAGTAGTTTGTGTACAGATTTGAAACTTTTTACACATAGATGGATCATTTGGTCCAAAAACAAAATGGCCTATATTTTGTAATTATCAAAGTCAAGTAAAATTACTAGGGGATATACATATTGTGGTTATTTATTTATTTGCCGTTTTCACATAATGCCAATTTTGATCACAAGGTTTAAAGGCATAATCCTCAATGCAAATTATGTTGTCATACTGTATATTCACCTTCATGTCAGTTTAAACCAATATGACTCTTTCTTCTGAGAGCACAAAAAAGAAACATTTCGAACAATATAGTGGCAGATAATTTTCCATACAATTACACTGAATATGAACTGATGCATTCAAACAGAATGCAAAAGCAGAATAAAAGTATCGTAAAAGTCATTAATAATACTTGTGTAGTATATTCGATGTTCTTCAAAAATGTGTTTCATAGAAGAAAGCAGGTTATATTACTTTTTTGGTTGAACTGTCACTTTAAAGAGACGGGCTTGGTTTCTCTCTCTTACTGTCACTCTTTCTGTCTCGCTTCAGTGGTTTATATCATTTCCAGGACTCTATTCCCATTTTGTAGACATGTTCAGAACTTGACATATGTACACACACACACACACACACATAACTTTCCCCACAAGGCCCTGTTAGAAAGCAAGCATGCTATCAGGTTTCTCAGCTCAGGGTGCAAATCAAGCGTGAGTTGGTTTCACACAACTCTGCAAACTCAATCCAAGTTTGTTGGTCCGTTGCGAAAATCCGAATCCCTTAGCTGATCCACGGAGAGCAAACACAGTTCACATTAGACACTGACCCTCATCTCTCTCCACCGGCCAGTGATCTTCTGGTGTGCATGTGTGTCTTTCCTCCATAGACTGCCTAATTAAGCCGGTCGAGGAAAACGAGATGCCTGTTGAAATCCTTGGCTGGAAGGAATGATGTGCTTGAGAGATTGTTACAGAGAAATGATGGAAAAAGAGAGCAAGAGAGGAGTAGAATACATTATTTCCATTTCTTTCAGCGAATCACCTCCACTTGGACATTTTTCAGTGAGGTAAAGGACGACTTTTACCTGCTGTGGCATTACGAGCAGTAGAAACTGGAATCATATGGCCAATTAAGTGCTTAAAGTCTTAAAGGAATTTGGAGGCAGTCAGGAGTTCAGGTTACCTTGAGCATCTCACTTTGATCTAGAGCTGAGGGTAATCGTGCCGACAGGAACACGTTCAGGGGCGTGAGAACCCCAAGAAGTTTCCATTTCTGTCGACTTGCGTGTACTTTTATGAAAAAGGGGAGAATTACTGATACGTGCTTAATTATGTATGTAATATTTATTATTTTAACAAAAAAAATAATATATATATATATATATATATATATATATATATATATATATATATATATATAAATGTGTATAAAAAATGTATCAAATAATATATATTTTAAATGTTTTTTGACTATATATATATATATATATATATATATATATATATATATATATATATATATATATATATATATGATTTAAAAATATGAAATATTATACACACGTTCACCTTGGTAATCTTTTAACATATAGTACTAATAAACAATAGTAATAATATTAATAATAATAGTATGTTACGATAATGTAATAATAAATAATACATGTTTCTTGATCTCAAAATCAGTATATTAGAATGATTTCTGAAGGATCATGTGACACTGAAGACTGGAGTAATGATGCTGAAAATTCAGCTTTACCGTCATATATATATATATATATATATTAAACTAAAAACTGTTTAAATTGTAATAATATTTCACAATATTACTATGTTTACTCACTATATTTGATTAAATAAATGGAGCCTTGGTGAGCAACATATACTTCTTTGAAAAAAAATAACAAAATTGTAATGTTTCCCAAAAAATTTTTTTTGTAATAATGCCCAATACGATTTGTAATAAGATCAGAAACGTCCGTTGCAAAAGCAAATATGGTTTCACATTGAATATAAAATACTTTCTAGGTTGGCAGCTCACTGGGTTTTGGAAAATGTCTCGAGTCAAGTTGCTGTGTTTCACCACATGTGCTTTTCCCATGTCATGTGTATATAATTTAAAACATTGGACTAATCTAATGTGCTGCTGTACAGTATCTACATGGCACTGTGAAAGGCATGCTGTCTCGGATTAATGGGAATGCTTTAAGCAAATCCGTCAGAAGGGTAACAGGGTCGACTAACATGCTTAGACTCTGTGTTTTTTTGGGTTCAGACGTTATTGCACACTTCAGCAGTGGTCTAGATGAATGTTCAATCTTGTGTCCCACATTAATATCACTTACATTTCCATGCAGGAAGAGCACTTTATATTCCAAACCCTCTTTTGTGCCTTTTTAGCTAATGTAAACAGAAGTTTTAGGTTTAATCTTTGTATGTTTGAAGTAGATTAGAGGTGGTTTGCACTTGGAAAGAGTAGAAAAATGATCCTCTCATGGTTTCTAATTTGTTATTTCTCTTCTTTAAATGTTAGCGTGTGTAGTTTCCTGCTAGACATGCTGTTCGTGTTTCTAATATCTCTGTTTTTCTCTCTTTTTATCAGTTCTTCGAGATGATTTCCGACAGAACCCTGTGGACGTGATGGTGGCGGCGGGCGAGCCAGCGGTCATGGAGTGCCAGCCGCCCCGTGGACACCCAGAACCCACCATTTCCTGGAAGAAAGATGGAGTCACCATCGACGACAGAGATGAGAGGATAACGGTAAGCATATCTGACACTGTTTCCTGTTGAAAACACCAGCTGGTTAGTGCTGGTTCATCTAGCTGGTGGAAGAGTGTTTTACACTGGCTGGTTAAAGAGATACTTCACAGCTGGCAAAATGGGCTTTCAATAAAACGTGTCTGCCTGCGCAGTAGAAAGGCTTTTTTCTTTTTTGATCTTGCTACCTGACTATAAAAAAAAAAGAAAACAAGACCCATAATGCACTGGGAATGTTGCCTTTCAAGGCCACTCCCACCAGTCTGCTCCTATTGGAAACGCTTGACCAGAGTCAAATATTGCCTCGCTTTAGTAGGAAATACTTCTTAGCAAACGTTTAGTCATAATGGTGTCGACTTGTGTTTTTCCTGTGTGCAAGGATTCAAAGAGTAAACGTTTAGGAGGAGTGATTTACTTTCGGTTTCCAGTGGAGGATCCGGTGCGTTTTAGGCAATGGCTAAAAGCTGCAAAGAATCGTAAATATCTGAAAAAACTCAGTGTTTGTAGTCAACACTTCAAACTGGATTACTACGAACAGAGTGTTTTAGGTCAAATGCCGTTCTGTCAATTCCTCCTGAAAGAAAAACGCTGTATCGTACAGGTAAAAAAGCTGTTGCCGAAGTGTTCCACTTTCACCATAATGCTGTTTAAAGAGTAGACAATATATGATACAGTTTTCAGTGAAACCCTTACAATAACTGTTCTGTTAATAACCCTCTGTTGATCCGACGAAATACAAAAATGCGGAAGTATAATCTGTAGTTTTCATGAACGCTCTGGAGCTGTCAGAGAAAGGTCAAAACACATCATACGGTGGACTTTTGCTGAGAAATAAACGTGAATTTCTCTGTCCGGGTAACATGGACAAATAGTAAACATATAAAGGTTGAATATCGGCAAAGTTAAATTTTCAGCTCGGCTGACAGGATTTGTGGGATAATACGAATAACCGCCTAAAACAGTAGTCCCACTTAAATTGATGACTTAAACAAATTTACTGCTCAAATAACACACATTTTTTATGGATGACTTACTGTTGCTGTATTCAATAAAAAATATGAGCTTCACATCCTGCCTTGTGTTTGCAAATCAAACCAGGTCCCTTCCTAATTTTCATTTTAAAGGTACTAACGAAGACCTGCTGATTTGTTAATAAAAAAGACACAGCGAAATGAAGTTCCCTTATTTAATGCATGTGGATAACAATTGCTTCTGCTGCATTTTTCCAGCAAATGAAGGCCGATTAGGGCTTCTGCTGATGAGTGTTTAAACTGCGTCGCGGCCAACTCTGTCAGGGAAAATTAATGGAGCCTGTTCATCTGATTGGAAGGGCATGTGGGAATGAAAGTTTGCCTTCGCCAGCGTTCACGAGCCGAAAACTCTCTCTCTGCTGATTTAATGCAGTCTTTAAACCAGGGCCACCAATTAGGTTTTTCTAATTAAATGTGTGGGAAATTAAGTAACGGGATCAATCAGGCCTCTTTTGTCGTTAAAAGAGTGACTTTGATGTGCACGCCGCTGCTCGTTTTCCACGTGGCTTATTCGTGTAGAATAAGGCTAAAGGTGGTTTGGGGGGATTTGTTATTTTTAATCAAACCGTAGACAGGGTTTTTTGAGAATACTATTTTACTGCTTAGCACTGACTGAAAAGGCAATGAAGGAATGTGTTACGCATTCCAAAGTTACGACAACGTGTAACTATGATGTTGTTACGATTGAGCTGATTAGAATGAAGCTGAATCAAACCAGATCAAGTTTGTTGTTGATGTTGGTGGTGGTGTATGTGTGTGTAGCTTATCTCTAGTCTGCAGTCTACAATTATGTAGACATTAAACTGTATGGTCATCTCAAACACACACACACACACACACACACACACATGTTGGTACTCCTATCATTAGGACGTTTCATAGGCGTACTGTTTTTTATACTGAGCTAATGACATTTTCTAGCCCCTAAACCTAAACAGAAAACATTCTGCATTTCTACATTTTTAATGAAAAACCGTTTAGTATGTTTATTTAGCTATTTGGAATATGAGCGCATCGGCATGTACTCATAATGTAGGGGGCATGGCCTGAAACACACACAATTTAATATTGGCCTTATGTATGACTGTAAAAAATAAAACCGTAATTTTTACGGTAAAAAAACGGCAGCTGTGGTTGCCAGAAATTTACCGTCAAAAATACGGTAGCAACGTTATTGGTTTTACAGACTTAACTTAAAATGTACAGTAATAAACCGTATTTCATTATCTAATATAATGTTAATTTACCAACCTATTGAAGTATTGATATCTGTTTTGTACCATTGTAATACACTGACAACCAACAATCATCACAGCAGTGATGAGAGTCACATGATAAATCAAAGCTCATCACAAGCATCTCTTCCACAAGAAGGTGAAATGAAAAAAATGCAATAAACATTCATTTAACAACATTAAATGTAACATTTTACGGTTTTTCACTGTAAATTATACAATGAGTTGTTCTTTTTTAACTTTCAAAAACTGTAAATTTAACGGTATTTTACAGTAAAATTTCATTAGATGTACCATGAGATCTATCACAGTTATTTACCGTATATAGTACGGAAAGTTTCTGTTAACCAATTAACAGTTTTGCACTGTAGCATTGCATTGTCTTTCACCGTTAAAATCACGATTATTTTTTTCAGTGTAGATTTGTTGTTCTACGTCTTAAATTATGTAAATAAAAAGATGCTTCGAAAAATTAAAGGAAGCACAAGATTGTAATATACACTCACCTAAAGGCTTATTAGGAACACCATACTAATACTGTGTTTGACCCCCTTCCGCCTTCACAACTGCCTTAATTCTACGTGGCATTGATTCAACAAGGTGCTGAAAGCATTCTTTAGAAATGTTGGCCCATATTGATAGGATAGCCATTTTGAGAATGGTTTAATTGTGCAAAGAGTGTAAACATGTTGTGTTCCTTTAAGAAGCATCTTTGTCTTTGTTTTTTTGTTGTTTGGGGGCAAAATGCACTTCACAGCGATTAACTGATCTTTGTCGAAACATTGGCTCAACCACAGCTCAGCATACTGTAATGAGCATCAACATTATTCATTTGTTTTGCGTTCCACTGTTATCTCTAAATTAAGGAGCTCCAATGTGGCCATTAATTGCTTTTCAGCAGTAATTGCTGCAGTCTGCTCAAATTAACTGGAGCAGCGCGCTCTGTATTGTTTTGCAGCTTTTTGTTCTGAGCTGGTGTGTGATTATCATGGTCTGCTGAGTGACTCCACACCGTGAGCCCTGTATGAGCACTTCTGCCAAACCACACAAGACAAAAGGCATGCGAATAAAGCAATCTCCCAATGCTCAGATTGATCGCATCCGAGGACGGAGGGAGCGAAGGTGTGTTCATTGACTCTGGACCGAGAGCAAAGCTGTCCTGCTGTGATGGAACTCCAAATATGTGTCTGCGTGTGCTTGGGACGTGAATAGGAGTTTTTGGGCTGTCTAGCAGAGCTCTGCGGCATGTTACGTGTCATAGCAATCAGATAGTAGTTTTGTTATGAAACCTAGCAAGCTTCCTATCTAGACAGTTTTTAAATTTCGTAGGTGCGCTTTAAGATTATGCTACATGTTTTCATTAACAGATAAGGCAATACCACAATACATTGCAACAAGCAGCTCGCTATCTTTTGAAATGGATCTTGAGTTTTTCCCGAGGCACATTCTCCCTTTTCCTTTGGGTTCAATCTCTTCTTCACTGTATTATTTCCTTAATACTCAAACACACATTCTCTCACTCCTACGTCTGACCTTGTCTGCTTTGCGAGTCTTGTGCCGTTTCAGCCGTTAAGCTCTCGCTCAAACAAACAGTAACATAATGACACTTCAAAACCTCTCCAACACCATAGGGTGCCTTAAATAAACTCACCCTCCTTCCTTTCCCCTCCGACCTCTCCTTTGTTTAAAGACTCTTTTCCACCATTAATATTTAGGAGAGGCGACAGGGCTCAAGAATGCTTCAGAACGTTTTAGAACGTGTCCGGTTTGGAAGTGCTCAGAGACGTCCCATGAGACCTAGTGAATGTTTTTTTTAGATGTTTGCAGTCCTTTAAATGTAAATGACTGTAAAAACCAATCAGATAAAACTCTTATTTTACATTTCAATGCTCATTGATACTATATTTATACTTTCCATACTTTCATCTGTCTGTCTGTCTGGCTGTCTGCCTGTTTATTGTTCCATCTATCCATCCAAGTTTTGTTTCATCATTCCATCAACTATCCATCCATCCATCCATCTTTTGTTCCATCCATCCATCCAAACTCCATAATCTTTTGTTTCAATGTTCCATTCAGCCCTCTTTTGTTTCATTTTTGGATGGAACAATGCATGGAACATCAGCCATCAACCATCCATCATCTTTTGTTTCATTGTTCCATCCATCTAGTTCATCTATCCATCTATTATCCATCAAATATCAATGATTTTTTTGTTTCATTGTTCCATCCATCAAATATCCATCATCTTTTGTTTCATCATTCCATCCACCCATCCATCCATCCAAACTCCATAATCTTTTGTTTCAATGTTCTATCCATCAACCATCCATCATCTTTTGTTTCATTGTTCCATCCATCTAGCTCACCTATCCATCTATTATCCATCAAATATCAATGATTTTTTTGTTTCATTGTTCCATCCATCAAATATCCATCATCTTTTGTTTCATCATTCCATCCACCCATCCATCCATCCAAACTCCATAATCTTTTGTTTCAATGTTCTATCCATCAACCATCCATCATCTTTTGTTTCATTGTTCCATCCATCTAGCTCACCTATCCATCTATTATCCATCAAATATCAACGATTTTTTTGTTTCATTGTTCCATCCATCAAATATCCATCATCTTTTGTTTCATCGTTCCATTCATTCATCCATACATCTTGTTTCATCCATCAACCATCATCTTTTGTTTCATCGTTTCATCGTTGTTTCATCCCTCCATTCATCCATCCATATCTTTTGTTTCATCGTTGTTTCATCCCTCCATTCATCCATCCATATTTTTTTATCTACATAGTCACATTTTAGTGCAGACTTGAAGATTGAATGTGGCATTTGTGTCTCATAAGTGTAATATCTGTATCTAATTTGTAAATGATGCAATATACAGCGAATGCCTCTGGTCTTTATCACTGAGACTCCGTTTACATATTCCACATGTTAAATACAGTCAGATCCAGCCGCTGGACTCAACACTGACCGCAGCGAATGATAATCAATGAGACATGACATGATCTGCCATAAAGTGAACCCACATGTTGACCTGTGTAAGTGCAGGCAGGTAGGGGGCCGTAGGAGAGCCGCCACATTCTGATCCCCCTCATTGACTCTCGCCGTGTGGTCCCCTGATGCGGGGGTCAGATTTGTTGTTTGTGATTTTGATCTGCTCAGGTGAAAGAGGACCCCCAGCTGCCTGTACAATTACCTGAGGAAAAATCTGTAATCAGATCCTGGGAAGCTATAAGCCACCCGAATAGCCACTACACACATTACACTGATATATTGATACTACAGTATATACATGTATATATAATTATTATTTTATTTTTGCAGTAGTTTTTGTGTGATTATGGAGGGCTTTGCATTGTGTCACAGGGCCCCACCATAAAGGTTTTGACCTATGTCCTTTAATCCTTATATTTATGACTTCTCATATGATCTTTCCATCAGATACGAGGAGGAAAACTGATGATTACCAACACCCGCAAAACGGATGCAGGGAAGTACGTGTGCGTGGGAACCAACATGATGGGGGAACGAGAGAGCGAGATTGCAGAGTTGACTGTTCTTGGTAAGTTTTCGATATATTTTTTGCTTTAATTTATGTATTTCAGTAAATCAGAAGTCTGATTCTCAAATACTACCGCATGTGATCTGCCTTCCTTAAGACGTACATGTGTATATATAATCAGGTTCCCACACAAACCTCTGGTGCATTTGATTGTGAAAAGCATGCAGATGGATTCACTTAAACACACACACACACGTTGTATGAAGTGTTTGTTTATGGGCAGAGCAGGAGAGAATCCAGATGTTTAGAGTTTGTGTGCTTAGCTGTAGGGGCTATCTGTAGGAAGACTCCAGCGTGTCATTGACCCCGTTTAGGAGACATGGACCCTTAAACCTTATCATCAGAGTTTGCCATGAAACAAATACCAGCTCACCCTTCACACACCCGTTCATTCACACATACACACAGAAATATACATTGTGTCGTCCAACACCTTAACATATCAGTTTACACTATTCCACATCAGAGCTGTGGCCTTTGACCTTCCCTCCTTAATCCCTGCAACACAGCCTTCCTCATCGCCATCATTATTCAATGTCTGCTTGCATATTTACACATTACAGGGAGAAAGTCACCAGCCATGTCAAGTCAAGTTTATTGTCATTCTCAATTTAGATCAAGTGTAAGAAATGGATCAAAACAATTCCTCCAAAAATATTTCCTTTAGATTAAATTTAGAGGTGAAGAGTCTCATCTTTAGTGGCAGTAGAGTCACAAAACAGAATGTCAAAAATAATGCCTGTTTTATAACAGATTTTTGAATACACTTTCCCCTCCCATTGGTTGTTCAAACAGATAGCACCTCCCCTAACCTATTCCATTGGTTGTTCAAACAGATAGCCCCACCCCAACCCCTGCCATTGGTTGTTCAAACAGATAACCGCACCCCCAACCCCTGCCATTGGTTGTTCAAACAGATAACCGCACCCCCAACTCATGCCATTGGTTGTTCAAACAGATAACCCCACCCCCAACTCCTGCCATTGGTTGTTCAAACAGATAACCCCACCCCCCAACTCCTGCCATTGGTTGTTCAAACAGATAACCGCACCCCCAACTCCTGCCATTGGTTGTTCAAACAAATAGCCCCACCCCCAATTCCTGCTGAGAACTGTTCTGAGAACTATATAAACAACAAAACATCACACCCCACCTTTAATTACATGCAACGATTCATTCTGCTCATTTTCATGAATGACAATCAGTTTTATTTTATAGTATTTATGTGCTTTTATTGTACAGTAATTTAGATTTTCTGTTTTCATCTTAATTTTAGGTTAACTAATTGTGTTTTGTGCTCTTGTCATTTTTATCATCAGTTTTTTATTAAATATTTATCTTTAGCTTTATATGTATTTCAATTTTAATTTTCCTAATTTTAGTCCTTCAACTTAAAGGTATTTATTTCAGTTTGCTACCGAGGCAACATTTCTACAATTGTTTATATTTTATTTAAATTTATTACAAACAATTTTTAATATTTTCCATTGACGATAACAAGAATGATGACAATGTTAGCCAGCCCACATAACATGCAAAGTGATATAAATGGAAAATGTAATAAACACAACATGGACTAAAAAAAAAGTCAATAGGTACATTGCAAGAAACACATGAATTAACTGCCATGATAAATATGCCTGCTCTGATGTTTCTTCATATCAGTGGGTTAGATAGTCCTAATCTTAAAGGGATAGTTCACCCAAAAATTGGATTATATACTCATATACAAGTTGTTCCAAACCTCTATGAGTTTCTTTGTTCTGTTGAACACAAAAGAAGATATTTTGAAGAACGTTGGTAACCAGACAGTTGATGGTCCCCATTGACTTCCATAGTATGAAACATTTTTTTCCCATGGAAGTCAATGGGTACTAGAAACAGTTTGGCAACTAACACTATTCAAAATATCGTATTTTGTGTTCAACAGACCAAATAAACCCATAAAGGTTTAGAACAACTCGAGGGTGAGTAAATTATGACAGAATGTTCATTTGTGGGTGAACTTTCCCTCTAACAGATTATTAGTATCCTAACATCAAAGAGATATGATCTTAATAAAGAAATCAGATAGGAAGCTTACTGCAGGATTAGCTGCATGAAAGCTTAGGCTAAAACAACAAGTCAGAGTTCAATAGATGTAGATCGCTGGAAGTTCATAATCGGATCAGTGAAGGGAATATCTAATAGGGAAGACTGGGAAACTTCTTGTATTACATAATACGCTGCGTGTTGTGTGCAGAGAGGCCCAGCTTCTTGCGAAAGCCGAGCAGCCAGTCTGTCCTGGTGGACCAGAGTGTTGAGTTCAGATGTGAAGCTCAAGGAGACCCCGTGCCCACCATCCGCTGGAGGAAAGAGGACGGAGATCTACCCAAGGGACGGTACGAGTGATAAAACGTCTAGTTGGCCTATATTAAGCCAATTAAATGCGAATGAGAAATGCCTGTCCTTTAAAGTCTTAAAGAACCTCTTGATTAGATAGAGTCCATGAAGTGTATCAGGATGGCCTCGTTTAATTGCATCTATGTTTGTGTATCGTCGTCTTCTCAGGCATGAGATCTGGGAGGACCACACTCTCAAGCTGAAGAGACTGACTTCAGGAGACGCCGGTACTTACACCTGTCAGGCGGAGAACATGATGGGGAAGACGGAGGCCAGCGCCACCCTCACCGTCCACGGTAAGAACATCTCATCTCACGCTGTTTGACAAACTGCTCTGATCCTGAATCTGTGTGTTTTTGACCTGTTTATTCACAGCTGTTAGTTTTTTGACAGACGTTTTCAGCTTTGACAGGTTGTCAGATTGATTTGTCCGAATGGATGCTGGATCGTTGTGAATATTCCTCCCCATCCCACCCCCCTAGCTGTTGGAAAACTATATTTTTTCTGTATCCTGTGAGTGAGACAGGATGATTTCTGTCATTTTTCTGAAGCATCATTCCCACCACCGTGTCATTTACACATCTGTGGGAATTACATTTTTTTAATGTTTAAAATTACTGAAGCCTTCGTCTAGCTTGGGTTAAATTCGAAGCTTTTTTTTTTTTTTTTTTACATTTTCAACTTTTTGGTCAAAATTCCCAACTTAATTGGAAATGTAACTTGATATTTGAAGAGTTTGGTTCCAAAACGCAATAAATCCATTTAGATTAATTTGAGTAAAAATGTGTTTTCTTTACCAAGAAAGTGGAAAGATGAAAACCACTATTTTTCTGTTTCAAACTTTCACATAGCATTTGTAGGTCATAATAACAAAAAAAAAATTAAATCCAGGTTTTGATTTTCAAAGATTTATTATAAAAACGGATTCTTTTTTTCCCCAAAATGCAATAAATATATTTTTTTTAATTAAAAATGCAATTAATCCATTGAATCAATATAAAAGTTTTTTTTTTTCATATTGAAACTGTTGAAAATACACAACAACGTAAGTGTATTAGTATAATATTTTTATTAAGAACTGTAAAGAAGATTGAAAACATTTTTCCTCCTCCCGAGTGCCTCATCTTCTTAATCTCCTCACGTAAATGATTCGATTTCGATGCCTTACGTTTCTTACCCACCGCAGAAACAACCACAGGTTCATCAATGCCGTCAAAATTATTCATTTTTTTGTTTGTTTGTTGATCGAAAAGTACAAAATAGATAAGAAAAACTAGGAAGCCGGGTGTATTTAAGGCGCTGCCGTTACTGTTTACATTGCGTGGAATGGTGCGTTGTGATTGGTTGAGAGCGGATATATATCGCATTCTGCAGAGAAGGGAGACTGGCCTTTGTCGCGGTTTGGAAAGAAAGGGAGAAAACATGACAGAATAACACGGCGGATATCGCATTTTACTTAAAATTAAACATCGACTTTTCAATACCAACCAGATACAATACTGATTTTTGCAGTAACTAATTTTTTTTTTAAATAGCGTTTATCGCGTTTTGGAACCAAACTCTTCATATATTTACTTTTATCACTAATCGCAATTCATATGTTATCATAGGTAATCTTGCTCCTCACTTACCAATTAACCGATTCTTTATTATAAAACTTTATTTGGGTCAGAATTGTTTGTCATGGTGAAAATTGTAGTCGTAATGTGTGTAATAATTGATATTTTTCACAATAAATATTTAAATATTGAGTTGGATTAGATTTACGTCACTCTTTTGGTTTAGAATTGGATAATTTTGGTAGTGGATTATCAAAATTAAAATTGCAAGGTCTAGGACAACGGTCTATTTAACAAAGAAAAATTATTATTATTTGTAAAAAAAATAAAGTTAATAAAAATACCATCAATCCCTACGACATAGGGGTGGTTTATTTGTAGAAACACCAATACATAAGAACACATCTATTTTACTCTAGGTCCATTTTGTTTTGTCCTTTTCACTTTAAGTCCCATTGAGTGTGTTCAACTCTTTAGAGAACAATGTCCACATTGTCTCTTGACACCCCTGAGCAGTTTTCTCCGTCTCCTCGTTGCGCTCCTTATTGCTTTTACTGGTTTTTACTGCTTATAGAAATTGCTGAATTATTATTTCACATGTGTGTTTAGCGGGCCAGTAGCATTGGAACCAGACTTATAAACACGTCTGTTTCAATAACCAATCTATCCAGCGAAGAGGCTTATTACTAAACTTGCCTTTGGCACAACATTGCTTTCCAGATGCCAAGGAATGAGATTCATCAAAATGATGACTTGTATTCGAGAATGTCTTTTGTCTGGTTGGCGTTTTGAACGAATTACGTTAGTGAGCTGCCTTCCTAGACAGCATGTTTTGGCATCATAGGTGCATTGAACAGTCAATTGATTCTTTAAACGATTTGTCAATCCAGAATGCGTAAATGTCAAGCGCACATGTACACACAAATTCTCCGAGATAAGTAATTTGGAATAAGAGTCAGTTCTCTGTTAAAAGGCCATGAAAAAAGATAATGTTGGGTACAAACGAGGCCTCTCTCAGCTGGCGATTTAGTCATTAGTACTGATGTATTTGAGGAAAGTGCTAGAATGCCATGCGAGTCCCATGAGTAGCTCCGCTAATGGGCCATGGAAACAAAGTAGAGCGAGAGCCGCAACTATTGCCAAAAGAGCAAACGGCCCCGTCCAAGTCGAGTTCTCTTTAAGCAGCTGTTCTCAAATCTACTGCTTTCCCTCGTTTCTCACCCTTCGCTTGTGTTACTCTGTCCATCTCGCAGGATTGACTCCAAATGGCCTGAGTTATTGCATTTAAAGTTTAAAATGGGCTTATTTACTGTAGTTGCTTTACCTTATTATGAAGTGTTACAGAAAATTCTTCTTTTCTTCTTTCCTTAATGTAATTCCCACCGGGCTACAAAAATAGCAGGTTTAATTAGGAAAAATGTCACTTTACAGATGTGTACGGAATGCTTTTTGAATGCCATTTCATGTTGTTTTCACACTTTTTTAAGCTGTGAGTCGTGGAGATTGAGGGTTTTTACACAACAAGAGGGTTAAAATGCTAAATCGCTGCTCAAGCTTTTAAGAATTTGCGTTTCTTTTAAAGCTGAAGTTTAAGTGTTTCATTTCCACACACTAGCGGATATAAACAGATTTGCAAAAATAAAAATATTTGAGAAATAATGCCAATGTTCAGACAAGCTAGTAGTCCCGCCTCCAAATGAATGCCATTGGCTGAGCCAGTGTTGTTATGGTGTAAAAATGACACACTGTAGCTTTAAAAGGGTCAGACTCCAGGTCGCATTGTCCACCTAATAAAACCTTTGGCCAGACCAGAAGAATAAAACCTCCATTCATGCCTCACGCTCACAACTCAAGACTGATAGAATTGTTTCTTTGTGTGGTTTATGCCATATATTTCAGCCTCATGATATATTTACAATGTGTGTGTGTGTGTGTGTGTGCTTGCCACACCTTATGTCTCTTGTATGTTTTTGTGTTATGCTCATAAATACATCACTGCACTGATTTTGTTCAGTAAGCATTTCCTGTCATTTTTGCTTCATGTCGTGTGTGTGAGCGTGGTTAATTTGCGCATCTCTCACATCTGTGTTTTATCATGCTTCTATTTTTTTTTCCTCTTTCAGTTATGTCTGGTAAGTTGCAAATGTCACCCGTCACCATTTTTGCTGCATTGACAGCAACAGGAAGTTGTCAGAACCACCATCCATCCACCTTCCATCCTTCCACCAATCAGCACGCTTGTCTGGGTTGTCACCGGCAACAGTGACAGCACAGCAGGCCTGGGTAAAAACTAATGCTCGCTCTGAGCGTACAAGGTAACGTCAAAATTGCCTCATTTTCTTCCCACTTAGTTGAATATTCTAGCTTTATTCCTCCGGACGCTTTACGGCAGTGTATGATTGGACAGGTTTAAGATTGGTTCACCGGTAGACGGAATCGCCTTTCGTCGTAGGGGGTCAGACTTTGTGTCACATTTTATGAACAGTATCCTTATTACAAGATGAAATGGCTCCGTGCTGTTATGGACTGTGAAGTGGAGATTGCGTCAGGAATCAGCATCTCTCCACTCCGAGTCATTAAGATGCATGAAAAACCGGCATCCCAACGACGTCGGCTCCATTAAAGAGTGTCAGTACGGGACAGATGGTCCAAATTTATCCCCCCCATCTCCATGTAAATTTTATTGCTTTGTGCCCTTGTCCATGCAAATGAAGCAGACGTGGCGGTCGTGCCGTTTTTTATATTGCATCTACATATGTTTTTATGTTCCAGAATACCTGCATATCCTTCCATTAAACACCAGTACGACTTTCTCTTTTATTTCCTGCCGTTAAACGTGACGCTGAAGGCTTGTGCTCTAGTGTATTTATATCCAAGAAATTTGGCTGTTATCAAAGACCCCCTGAAATCAAAATTAGAGATTTGCTAGTAAAAGTTGACAACATAATTTTTTTTAGCAGAAATGTACACATAGAATATACAGAGGTCCAAAAATATTAACAACTCATCTCTGATTCATGGCATGTCTAAGTGTGTGCCAGTAACACAAACAAAAGATTATTGACCTCCTGTTTCAATAGAAAATATGAAAATATCAACACAGAAATGAAAACTAGGTAACACTTTACTTAAAGCCATATATATATATAATGCATTATAAAAATATATTTAATGCATTAATTATGCATTGTATGTTCTCATGATTAATTGTGACCACAGTTATAAAACTTGTCTATTCATTGTTACACCTTTAGAATGTATAACACATGGCAAACAAGCAATTTCAGATGTAATGAATCTGAATAATGAAAGTAATGAGTAATGAAAATGAATCTGCACATATTATAATGCATTTTAGCGTTGCTTACAATTGTTTATGAAAAGATATATGGCATTATAACCTATATTATGAATGTGTTATTCATAAAGGCTCTACGTAGTTTTACCGAAAACTGTGCTTAAAAAATCCATTTCATAATGTTGTTTAAAAAAATTACCCTTAGAAAATGCTTTACAGTTACACTTGCAATGGAATTTAAAAAAAAAATATATATATATATACCTGTATAATAACTATATATATATTATTTTTTTTTTTTTCAGAAAAATTAAATTGATCAAAATGTCAGTAAAGACATTTATAATGTTACAAAAACATTTTTATTTCAAATAAGTGTTGTTCTTTTGAACTTTCTATTCATCAAAGAATACAAAAATATTTAGCAGCGCAACTGTTTTACATATTTATTTTATAAAATACAAATTACTTTATAAAATAAAGGCTGCTCACTGGCTTTTAAACAGTCGTAATGTGTTGGTCCACAGACTTCCATTTTAAATGCATTCAAGTAAATGTGTTTTTGTTCGTTTTTTACAATCTAAGAGTCAAAATATTGTCTTTGGTAATTGACTTATTTAACTCCTGTTTCTGCAGTTCCTCCTGTGTTTGTGGTGCGACCCAGGAATCAAGTAGCCGGGATGGGCCGCACCGTGACCTTTCAGTGCGAAGCCACGGGAAGTCCTCAGCCTGCTATATTTTGGCAGAAAGAAGGCAGTCAGGTGAGTGTATCTGTGTATGTTTGTACGTCCGCTTGTGATACAGAGATGCATTTCCTGAGCACACTTTTACAGTAACATATAAAATGCATGGCACTCTCCCCCGTTAAAGTCAGTCAGATTTATGAGGCTGCTAGATTTATAAGGCCATCTGCACATTTACACAAATCTAATGGGCTCTGTAACACTCCACACCTCTAACACACACCTCAACTCATCGTGGTTTGATCAATTTCACTCATCACACACTCAGGAATTCAGGCACACGGTGTAAACGTGCAAATCCTGACAAGATGTTTGTTTCCCACATACTGAATATTCTTGGAGAAATTAGAACTAATTCTGTTCTCTTTTTGTTATGGGATTCTACCTCTGTTCATGCATCTTTTCCTCTTTCCCTTCTCCAGAACCTCCTGTTCTCCTCTCAACCTCCTCCTCCGTCCAGTCGTTTCTCTGTCTCTCAGACGGGCGATCTGACCATCACGGCGGTGGAGCGTTCGGACGGAGGCTACTACAGCTGTCAGGCTCTGAACATCGCTGGCAGTGTGATCACCAAAGCCCTGCTGGAGGTTACAGATGGTAAACAAAGATAGATTTCTTTCTTTTTGCTTCTTAGTTTTGGGAAAGTTGCTCCCAAAAAGTATTATTTTATTTCATTTATTTTATTTTTAATTTAATTTAATTTAATTTAATTTAATTTAATTTAATTTAATTTAATTTAATTTAAATTTTTTTTTTTTTTTTTTTTTTTTTAATTATTTATTTATTTATTTATTTTATTCTGATTGCAATATATTAATTGCTCAGTTTTGCACTGTAAATGCATTACTCATTATATTGCTTACGGATATATTTGTAAAACTCATTTGAGCTGTTTCCATAAGGTCGTTATGAGGAAAAACACAGATTAATCCTTCACTTCTCAGATTTCTGGCTGTTAGTTTTGTGTAGCCATGACAAATGCTTTAACAGATTGATTATTTCAGCACAATCCAGTATAAGAGGTGTTAAAGTCCCACTCCGATCATATTTTGAGCTATTTGTAAACATTCCCAGTGGTCTTTAAATTATGATTATGCCATTTTTAGCCAAACTCACAAAACCTGTGCCGTTTTCTGGGACTTTGCTTCAGCAGAGCGGCAGTAGCTCATTAGCAATTCGCCTCTGCGTTGTGGGCGGAGCCGTTGGCACGGAGATGACCCTCCCCCTCCCCGTTGCTGAGAGCTCTGTCTCTCCAGCTAGCTTACACCCCCAACCTGTCATTACCGGTGCAACAAAAATTGAGAGCAATATTGGAGCTATCCAGCCGTACAGTGCGTTTTCGTTTTAAAACGCATAACTTTTGCAACGATTATGCGCTCCTGCCGTCCACATTACTGACCCTTGGCCTCGAAAACGGAGACTGACCCCTTCAGTCGAGTCCGATGCAAGACACGCAAGTGACGCAACCCATAGCAACGAGTCATGGCAACGACAGCTCAAACCAATAGAAACATACAAGTAAACGTGAATTTTGTCACATTGTCATGTTAATTATAATCAAATGCATTTTGTTTTATTGAAAACAATATTATCATTGATATTTGTTTGAGAGGGGCACTTTCGATTAATTTTAACAAGCTTGTGGCCCCGCCCAGTGGAGTTACTACGTCACAACTCCAGTCTATTTTAGCCGGCATTTTAGCGTCTGCTACTGATTCACAGCCATTTGAATGTAGAAATACTCAGAAATACAACTTTGAGCTTATTCTTCTCAAGATATGTCCTCTAACATAAGAAAAATGCCACAAGAACATGTTAACACCTAGAAAAACCTTATTTTCATCGGAGTGGGTCTTTAAATTCGCCAGGAACTCTTTTTTTTCGGAACTAATTTGACTCATTTTTTCAATTCAATTTTAATATTGTAACATTCTTTTTTGTAAATACCATACATGATATGTGTGATAAAGCATGTCAGTTTTAAATTCAGTAATGCCTCTGAATGAATCCCTGACCAAAATATTCATGATCATTCTTTTTGACCGATAAAATGACCCATAGCAGATTTATACAGGTGGAGCTGGGGAAGGGGTAGGGTTTCTGATAGGGATGTCCCGATCAGGTTTTTTTGCCCCCGAGTCCGAGTCATTTGATTTTGAGTATCTACCGATACCGAGTCCCGATCCGATACTTATATAATACATGAAAAAAAAATAAAGAAGAGAGAAAAAACTTCTGTGAGGTAGCTTGAACAATCAAGTAATAAATAACATAAAATCTTGTTACTTTTGGACTTTAGTGCAACAGTAAATATAGAAAAAGTCTATTATAAAAACAAATAGCACCTCAACTTAAAATACCCGGCAGGCATGTAAACAAAAATAAAAATGTTTTAAAAGTGTATAAAAAAATTATGAGAATATATATATACATTAGGGGTGTAACAGTTCACAAAATTTGCGGTTCGGTACGATACAGCAAAAAGAAAGAAATGCCAGAGAAATTTCCTATTTATTTAAAGAAAAACTATTTTTAAATAAGTTTGAGTTTTCCTACATCTTGAAACTTTCAGGTTTATAAATGGGGGTAATCTTTGAAGGATGAACAAATAATGTTTTGGTAATCACATTAAAAATAACATTTAAATATATATTTATATAGCCTAATATTATTATATATTATTACTTCAGTGGAGAATTCAAATGTTTTCTTCACTGGATCTCTTAGCACAGTGTCGCTTGATCTCGCGCTGCACAGATGTTGCTGGTCCGAACTGTTAAATGGTCCGTTAAGCACAATATAATGAGAAGTGCAGATTCGTTCCGCTTTCATTACGTTTGCCATTTGATGTTGCGCAGCGTTGTGTTGATCGCGCCAGCGCGGATTTTGTCTGCAGGAAAAATGGTCCTAGGAATCGTTCGGTTTCTATGCGTACCGAACCGGAAGCCTCGTACCGAAACGGTTCAATAATTACGAATACATGTACCGTTACACCCCTAATTTACATATATCCGAGTCCTGATCGGGAGGTAACGTCCGATTCCGATCGAGTCTGAAACCACGTGATCGGGCCCGATTTCCGATCGCGTGATCGGATCGGGACATCCCTAGTTTCTGAGTCAATCTGAAAGCAAACTGCTATAGTGAGCGCTATCCAGCTATCTAAAGGCCATTGCACACTGAGGCCGAAATTTTCGTATGCGTTTTTTCGTGTTCGTCAGCCTAAAAATTCATCACGCACAGAAACCTTGCACACTGAGTCCGATGTGTATTTATTAAACCTTTGCGGGAAAAAATGCACAAAAATACAAAATGGATTCGTCAAGCAGTAAGGATGATTTTGTTGCCCTCTCTCTTATTGAAATGAGAATAAAGAGAAAATTTTGGGTCCATCCAATCCTGAAATTGCGCCGAGAGGAAGGAGAGTTCCACTTCCTTATCAAGGAGTTGCGAATTTATCCCGAGCGATTCAAAATGTACTTCAGAATGTCAGTGGAACAGTTTGATGCTTTGCTAGCGATTCTGGAGCCACATATTAAAAAGAAGACCACCAATTTCTGTGAACCAATCGATCCTGAACAGAGACTGGCAGTATGTTTAAGCAGGTATGGACACACACACACACACGCGCGCGCACACACACACACACACACACACACACAGGCACACGCGCGGCCCGGTGGAAGCAGACAGAACAGCTGTATAGGCTACAGGTTATATGCCTATATTGTACCCAAATAATACATTAGTTATCGAATTGGCTGCTCAATCACACCTTAATCGATCCGAAATTTCGATCTGATTGAAAGGGGAGGTTTATTCCTTTTCTAATCCGATCGAGAGAACATATAAACACTTGATCGAATTGAAAACCGAGCGGAACGAGCTCCCCCCGGCCCTGAAATGTAAAAAAAACTCTCAAAATGCTGGCTGTGGATGCGAAAAACGCAAAAAATCGAACCCGATCCGAATTTTTTTATGACGGATGAAAGTTTCGGAGGCGGTGTGCAAGCGTGATTGACATAACTTGAGGTCGATTTTTTTTTTTTTTACGTGCGAAAATATCGGATGCGAATTTCGGACTCAAGCCGCCTTTCCACTGCACACGACATTCGCATACGATTGTCGCATTTCGCCCCCTAGTGTCAGTCGCACGGAACTTTGAAATTGGTCGTGAAGCAACCATTACCCTCGGCTATTCACAATGGTAAAATGAATGATGAATGTAATTCATGCATGAATTTATCCACACAAAACAAATGACCCCCAATACATCTAAAATAAAAACAATAGATTTTACAGAGCTAATCAAAATAAATATTGATTTAATAATTATAAAATATTTTTTTCTGCCATAATTATTAATAACCGACATTTTACAGAAATAGAATTTACAGAATAACATTAAAGAGTTGAAATATTGGTAATTCTAGCCTCACGCTCATAGTTTTGATTAGAATACATCACATCCGGTCGGCCAGTCGCATACGGTCTAGCCGCAGAAGTTCAGATATTTCAACGGATCCAAAGCTCAAATCGGATACGAATTTTCCGCATACGCATATGATCGGAACTCCCCGCAGCTCCCGTACGACTCTCCATTGGAAATGAATGACTTCCGGTCCAACGGCTGTCGTTTGTCGTGTGCAGTGGAAAGGCGGCTTCAGTGTGCAATGGCCTTAAATCTTGAGCTGGAATCTCATTGGCTGCAGATGCGACAGGAACCAATCAGCTTGTGCCATGTTAAAGCTAAAAAATGTAAATATCAGTTGTCTAAAGAGTTGAGAGAACTTGCTATTTAATCAAAATCATATATGCATCGCAAATAACAACATTTTACAAGAAATGCGTTACCCCAACATTGATTACTTTATATCCTCAAATAGTCAATAAGACACTTCAACAGAATAGTTACAGTTCGGCAGTTCCCTCTCATCCAATGTAATCTCCTGTGAGTGCCTGTCTATAAAGAAAACACCAAAGCAAGACAAAAAGAAGGAGAGTGAGGTAAAGAAAGAATAATAACAGTTATTTTAGCACCAATCTGCTCTCTGGCCTCGCTCTTACTGCGGGCACGGATCGTAATTACAGGTCACCGCCATGATGATTCAGTAATTACAACAGCGAGGACACAACCGTGCATGTGCGAGCGTGTCATCTGATACATAATTCATGCCTTTGATGGTCCTTACAAAAGTGTTGCACGGCTTCGAAAACGCGCTGTAGTGGCGTTTATGCAAATGGCAGCCGTGTAAATGGCGGTAATGCTTCTGGCATTGTCTTACACAATCATATGGACGTAAACATCCCAGCATTTATCAGGCGGCCTGGGTCCTCAGTGAGAGAGGAGAGGACATGCGGGGGGCCGCCGTTTTAATAGACGTGGTGTATTTCTGTGTGTTTTAGTGTGGTGATGATGGCTGGTGTGTGTGTGAGGGAGATTTAGTGCTGTTGAAATGCTGCCGGTATTAATTGCTCGTCTCTAGTTTGGCTTCGTTCTGCTACTGCTGTTGACTGATTAGAAAATTGCTTCCAGTTGAGAAAATTGGATTCCATCTCTATTTCTCTCTCTCTCTCTCTCTCTCTCGTTCTTAAAACATGTACTCAGCTCGTTCGCTGCCAGACATTCCACACTCGCATGCTCTTTTTCCTTGGTTACATTTATTTTTGTTTGCGTTCTTCGTTCTCTTTACCTCTGACCGTACACGCACTCGCTTCTGTTGCTCTTATAAAATGTGGAAGGATGTATTTTGGATTACAGTTGTGTTTCATTATAGTTATTATAATGATATTAGTAGGTCTGGGACAGCTTTAAGACTCTGTCTTCAAATGAGACTGATATGTCTGTGTCTCACTCTTTTTCTCGTTGTCTCACCCTGTCTTTCTTTCTCTCGTCTTTTAGTTTAATGCATTTTAGTGGCATGATAGATCATTTACATTTATATTGCCAAACCATTTGTAGCTTAGCTACATGCATAAACATGTATTTCATTTAAAAAGAGTTTTAAACAAAGCGATTCATCATAAAAGTATTGATTAGAAAAAAAATAAGGATGAGAAAAAAAATGATGTTCAGAATTTGTATTGAATATGAGGAATACTACAAAGCTGATTTTATTTTAATATTTTCATTTAGCAGACATTTTTATCTAAGCGATTAATCTTACAGTGATTGGTCTAAAAATCATTTTATTTTAGAAATAAAGGCAATGAAAAGAAAAAAAGAAGGAAGAGAAAAAAAGAATGTTCATAATTTTTAATGATTATGATGAATACTACAAAGCTGGTTTATTTTATTTGAATATTAATTAAATTTTATTTTATTTTATTATTTTATTTTTATTTTCATTTAGCAGATGCTTTTATCCAAAAGACTTAAAAATACAACAAAGCAATTCATTCTAAAAAGTGATTGATTTTATTATGATTTTATTATAATTATTTCATTTTATTTTAGAAAAAAAAAAGGCAATTTAAAATAAGAAAATTAATGAACATTATAGGAATACTATTATTTTGTTACTGTTTTTCTACTTTCATACTATAACACTCTAAAACAAGGCATTGATTGGTTTCTGAGGGTGTGTTTTTCTCTCTCTCTCTCTCTCTCTCTCTCTCTCTCTCTCTCTCTCTCTCTCTCTCTCTCTCTCTCTCTCTCTCTCTCTCTCTCTCTCTCTCTCTCTCTCTCTCTCTCTTTCCCAGTGATCTCAGACAGACCTCCACCCATCGTCCGCCAGGGTCCCACCAACCAGACCGTGGCTGTGGACGGGACGGTGGTCCTGGGGTGCCAAGCCACCGGCACGCCGTCTCCCACCATCCTGTGGAGGAAAGACGGGGTCCTGGTGTCCACCCATGATTCTCGACTCAAACAACTCGACACGGGAGCCCTGCAGATCCGTTACGCTAAGGTACGGTGGCTCTGAGGGGTCAGGACTACATCAAAGCCTGACGTATTTATCATGAAGATTAATGTACAGTAACAGGGGACGTGACTCCGGTTCATGAGAACTCTTTCCTTTCATGGATTTATAGCTTTGTAGCTCCTCTCTGACCCCTTTTGATGCTTTGAAAACGCTCACGTATGGAGGTTTGAGCATGTGTTCGTTTGGTGCACCAAACTTGTTCTCGTAAAGTACTGTTTCCCTTGTTCGGTTTTCCTTAGTAACAGATTTTTATGGAATTTTCCATTCCAAACACACCACACAGAACAACTATTTACTGGGAATTGTGAGCGGTTGTGTTGTGCCGCTCGTCTCAGACTCAGCGCCTCTCTTTTTTACTTTTATTAATATTTTATTCATGGAGGTTTCTGGATGCGGCGGGATGGTTTATTGGATGCGGTTAACTGCTGCTTCTCTCTGAGCTGAAGTTAGCAGATTTTTTTTTGTTATTGAGCTGTTAGCTGTTTTATTCCGAATACCTCAGACAGCACTGCAGGTTTCACTGACAGAATCAAAAATCACAGCTTCCCTTATGAAATATTGTTTTTGCACATGTTTGGGTAACATTGCCGCAGGTTTACCGCATATTCGCTGCAAGTTTGTTGCAAATAAACTGTTTGCAAGGGCCCACATTCCCACAGAATGATTGTCATGATAAAAATGTGACTTTTTATTAGCTAATTTGTTTATTGAAGTTCATAACAGAGAATAAGTAGTACAAATCATTTTAATAAAAAAAAACAACAACAACAACTAGTGTATTTTTTTACCCTATTGGCATTTGTTTTTTCTTTTTAAGCATAAAACGTACTACTTTCTCTGAAAACAAGACTTAAAATCTCATTATTATTTCATATAGTACATCATATTTCATTTGGCATATTGCTTCTCAGGTACATTGATCTTGTTTTAAGGACGTTTAGATATTTTTGTATAAAAAAAAACAGACAAAATATTGTTTTTTTGATTTGTAGCATTTTTTTCTTAAATCTTTGTTTATTTCAAGGTTTAAAATACATTTTGAATTTTCAGTGTGGTCTCATACTTTTGCACCTCACTGTAAATAAATATAACATACAGATAGAAGGGTCTAAAATGATTGATGCAATGTATAGCTATATTGATATTTGGTCATTTATTCAAGGATAGCCTCTTGAGATACAACATCTCATTTTCAAGAGGGTCCTATAATATATGATTAAACATTTAATATATGATTACACATCCCTAAAGGTACACTATGTAATGGTTTTCGTGGGTTATTGCGTATGTCACTCGTCCGTGTGTCTCTCATCATATCCCTAAATAGAGAAAAGTTGCTCCGGATACTTTGACGTGTGTTTAGTGTGTGAGTGGCAGAGGTCACGAGCGAGAAAGGTTGGTATGGAGAAGATAAATCTCAAACCTCCGAGGAATCACCCGTTTCAAACAAACGCCGAGCAGAGGAGAGTCACCTGGCAAAAAGAGAACAGAGCTCGTAATAAAACAAGAATCAACATTGACTTGGCTTTTTGGATATTTGATATGTCGTAAAAGCGACTCAAAGAAGGGGTTTTTATTACTCAACCGGTGAGGAAGGTATTTTATTGACAGATAAACTGCCATATGTAGCTATCTAACAGAGTTGATTGTAAGGCATGATCTATTGTGAAGGGTCATTTCATTATGGTTGTTGTAGAGCTGTGCTGGAATTTATTTTCAAGGAAGTACCGTGTTTACTAATGGGTAAAGCTACAGTAACGTCTTCAGCTAGTCAGCATAAGATCCTTTCCATCTAAACTGGTTATATCTCTTAAACCTAGTAGTGAATGTTTTATGAGTAGAAGAGTCACAAAAGCAGAAGCACAACCAAAACAATGTTCTTCTACAAAATGCATGCATTATTTTTTACCGTTAGACGGCCAAAAGTTACATAGTGTACCTTTAATTATCAAAATTGTATAATGATTGCAAAGCAGGCATAATATCTTTGCATGTTTGAAGGTTTGCACTTCTGTACATGATGTTTGAGTGAGCATAGACATGCATGTGTGCAGTACTCCATAAGACTTCCTTTCATCCCTCGCTACAGCATAAACATCATCTCAGGCACAGACGGCCAGTGTTCAGAGAGCCGTCAGTCAGCCTGCAGGTTTTGATGTGCGAACACACACTCCCGCTGTCACCCCCCGTCAGCCGCGTGGAGTTACACACACCCTCGGAACGTGAGCGAGGGGGAGGGGAGCGTTTCCTGTCACAGCACACACACACACATGAGCGCCCGGGTTCCCCCTGCACAGGGGTCAAAGGTCCCCGCAGTGTAGGCTGTCAGAATGCGACTTTAATTAACGTAGATGTCTCACTTGAAGACGACTCGCTTCTTTTAAAGAATAGAGGAGAGATAAAGCGAAACGAGGAGATGCATCTCTATCTGTTGCGCTTCGGGCGGTTCGCATTAATGAACATGTCATTAAGCGAACACACGCACACCAGTAGCTCAAGACAGACTATCTATTTCTGCAGACTGTGTGTAAACTGACTGACAGATCGGCTGACGTGTTTTTAAATGTGTCCTTTTTTCCTTAAGACATTAGCATACACCAACACTACATCATTCAAACACCGTTATTGTCATTATTTTATAAGAAAGCGGTGTAATGAAGGAACATACATGTTGATGTTCTTATATCATGTCTGTCTTTATTTTCTCTCAACAGTTTTTGTTAATATATATATATATTTTTTTTTTAAATTACCTGATATGTCCTCCAATTAACCACACATTTATTTAAATTATTCATTTATTATGTCTGTCTCGCTCTGTCTCATCCTGTCTCTCGGTTTTTAATTTAATGCATTTTAGTAGCATGATAGATCATTTACATTCATATTACCAAACCATTTGTAGCTTAGCCACATGCACAACATTTATTGCTATTTTATTTGACTCCATTTTCATTTAATTTAACGTGTTAGCAACGCATTTGCAAATAAGCAAGCAACAAATCTTCATTATAAAAACGTGTATTTTGTTTGAGATGAAACTATAGCTTCAAACTAAGCGTTGTTTTTTTAGCTGAATGTAGGAAAAGCAGTATAAATGCATATGTATATATGTGCGTTTATGGAGTTGTTTTCTTCTTTCAGCTGGGAGACACTGGCACGTACACCTGCACCGCGTCCACCCCCAGCGGAGAGGCATCGTGGAAGGCTTACCTGGAGGTGCAAGGTACGGCTGACAGACAGACTGCAAGATAACAGACAATAGAGCGGGAAGCACTGAGAAACCAAAGACAGGAAATTAAGTTTAAAATTAAACCTTTGTCCAGCTGTAAAGGGTTTTCATTAGCCCCTTTCACACATACAGTCTTTACTGGTAAATTACCGGTAACAGATCATGTGTAAACAGGACCTTTTCAAATATACCGGTAAATTGGTTCCAGCAATTTACCAGTAAGGGAAGTTGTAAAATTACCGGTATATGCGCCGTGTGAACGCAGAATGAAGATTACCCGTATTGTGCACGTACAAAGTCAGAACGCGCTGACTTAAGAAGTAATTTGGGCCAATCAGAAGCCGTTGAAAGAGCATCGGCTCTGGGCCATTCATAAAATGATGACGTGTTTTCTCAGAACTGTTTACAAATGTCTTCAAATTGGAGTGATACCGAAACTAAAGCGTTTCTCCCCGTCCGGGCGGATGAAGAGATTTGCCAACAACTTTAAAGGTCACTTTCGGTTAATGACATCATCAAAGAGTTTACCAGTATTTTGGAATTGATGTGTGAATGGTCTGTTGCCGGTAAAAAGTCAGAACGCTGTTGCTTGTGTGAACAGCACATTTTTGAATTTACCGGTAAAGGTAAAATTTTACGGTAATTTACCGGGATTGCTGTGTGAAATTGCTGTATTCATTCTTGATGCAAATTTGAGCCGCTGCACTGCAAAATTGTTGTCTTGTCCTATATAAATAACTCAACATATTTAAAGCAGGATACAGTTGTATGCTAATGGGCGAGGAAAAGAAATGTAAATCATTTATTTACTTATTTAAAACTAATTTATTTACCCTATGTGCAAATATTTTTCTTTCTTTTTTAAGTATAAACCTCAATAAATGTTGTTCCAGTTCTCTAATCTACACAGACCTTATTACGTGGCCTTGTTAGGAGATGATCAACGATATTCGCTTCACCTCTGACTGGTCATAATGTTTTGGCTCATCAGTGTATATATATGAACCTGTTTTTGGGTGTAATCCAGAGCAGTTGCACAGGATGACGTGCTTATGTGTGTGTGTATGTGTCTTTGTTTCAGAGTTCGGCTCTCCGGTTCAGCCCGGCCGACCCACAGATCCAAACCTCATCCCCAGCGCCCCTTCCAAACCAGAGGTCACAGACGTCAGCCGCACCTCAGTGTCTCTGTCCTGGAAGCCCAACCTGAACACTGGAGCCACGCCCACCTCTTATGTGATAGAGGCCTTCAGGTGGCATCATCAGTTTTGACTGTATACTTATTTGTCATTGGTTGGTTTGGCTGTACAAGCGTGTGTTTTACAACCTTTGTAAATACAGTTCACAAGCTAATGGGGGTTCTGTAAATACCAAGTCCATTTGCTGCGGCATGTCATAAATAATCATACCCATGTCCGCGTTTTCCTATAAGCCCGGCATTTTGCGCTAACCTCATTGTTTAGTATAATGTTTGTAGTAACGATATTTCAATATATAAAGTGTGGGCTGCAGTAATTTGCAGTATAAATACTCACGTTTGATGTGTGTATGGACGGCAGCCATGCGGCGGGCAGCAGCTGGCAGACGCTCGCGGATCACGTGAAGACCGAGAGCTTCGTCCTGAAGAACCTGAAGCCCAGCGCCGTCTACCTGTTCCTGGTGAGAGCGGCCAATGCGTACGGCCTGAGCGACCCCAGCCCCATCAGCGACGCGGTCAAAACACAAGGTCAGTTCACCTTTGACCTCACAGACAAGTATCCTGTCATGTGTTTGAAATATTTACATTTATTCATCGCTGTTTTGTGTATTCTGTTTTTTTTGTTTTGTTATATGCATATATGCTTGTGTTTAGAAACGTATCTTTGTGTTTATGTGAGTAGACGTCCCACCAACCAGTCAGGGAGTGGAGCATGGCCAGATCCAGAGGGAACTAGGAGATGTTGTCATTCACCTCCACAATCCCACAATTCTCTCATCGTCCTCCGTCAGAGTCCAGTGGACTGTAAGTGCCTCCACATTTTCTTTTAAACGGAGAGTTCGCATAAAAATTAACATTTTGTTTGGTCAAAACCAGTGTTGGGGGAAAGGTACTTTTAACATGTTACATGATTGCATTACTCCCTGAAAAAGTAACTTGCGTGAAAGTTACTAATTAGTAACTAAGTAACTGGAAAGTTCTTTTTTCTTAACCCACTGGCAAATAGCTTTTTATCTGATTTTAATCGTAAATTTCACACATTTTGTGGTAGTGAACAAATGAATCTTTGTTCAAACAGCTGAAGTCGAGGTTAAATCCGTCCAGACTTTCACCTCACTAACACGCGCACACACAAACAGAAATATTCCCAGCATGCTTCTCTCTTAACATGTTGTGTTGTTTGCACTTTATACGTATTTAATCAAAAACAGCTGAAACGACATCTGCTTTTATTGGGGCGGATCAAGAATTGATTAAAGTCTTTACAAGCGTGTTCAATTCTCCCCCCTCCACCGCCATATGGACTGATCCCAACGCTGAACACCTCTGATAGAAAAATCACATATAAAATAACACTTTACAAAAAGGTTCATTAGTTAATATTAGGTCATGTATTAACTAACATGAACTAATAATGAGCAATACATTTGTTACAGTATTTATTTATTCATCTTTGTTAATACTAGTTAATAAAAATTCATTGTTTGTTCATGTTAGTACACAAATACAACCTTTTATCGTAATCATTGATTAGTAAATGTTGAAATTAATATTAACTAAGATTAATAAATGCTGAAGACGTGTGTTGTTCATTCTTAGTTCATGTTAACTAAGGTTGTTAACTAATGAACCTTATTGTAAAGTGTTACCGAAAATCCCTTCACATAAAAAGTAAGAAGCTCAAATCTGAATCTTCAAATATCATTTTTGCAAATTAAACCTAGAAATGTTTGTTTTTTTAAGTACTCAACAACAAATTATTTCAATTTAACGGTATTCAGACAGAACATAAATATTAAGTGGTATGCATTACAAACAATATTTATAATAAACGCCTAAACAAATTTATTTAAGTGAATTTATTATTTAAGTGAAACTGAACTACCAGCAAGTCGCAGCACATTTCAGATGATAAAAAAAGTGATTTATATATTCTGGAAAATACAGTATATTTATATCTTCATAAGTAATTGTAACCAAAGTTATAGTACATAAATAAAAATGATAAATATGTCTGATAATAAAGCATAGTTTAGCTTTCTTTACAGCTTCCTAGTGTCCTAGTCCTGGGTGATCCTGAATTTTGGCCATGTGCTTTCCTGTAGGTGGAGCAGCAGTCTCAGTACATCCAGGGCTATAAGGTGATGTACCGGCCGTCCCCGGAGGGCGCTCAGCAGCGTGTGGAATGGGCCATGTTTGAGGTTCGAACCCTGGGGGAGCACAGCGCAGTCGTCACCCAGCTCAAGAAGGGCGTGACCTATGAGTTCAAAGTTCGACCTTTCTTCAACGAGTTCCAAGGCACCGACAGCGACATCAAAGTGGGCAAGACCCTCGAGGAAGGTGAGGAGAGCTTTCCGCCCATCCGACCGTGTGCTCTGTGTGCTTTAAAGCTTAAAGGTGCTCTATGTAACTTTTCTACTAAACTGAATCCTTTTTTTATTGCCTGTGTGTGAAGGGGTTGTAATCACACATTAAAATGATCCACTTGTCGAGTTTTGCTATTACCTCTGAAGGCCAGTATTCCTATTTCTATGTGAAGTCTCCGGGTCGGATTTACCGCGAAATCCAACGGATGTGACGTGCATGCGTGCTCCCGAGCCTCTCTCCTTATATACAGTCTATTGTAGACGGTCAGGGAGTTACGTCCGGTTGAGGGGCGCACGTTTTTCGGCTTATATCTCAGTCAATCTTTGATCAATTTTCCCAAGACTCTAATCGTTCGTAGTGCTGGACGGGGCCTTTCGAACGAGCCCACCCCCGAGGTCCAACTCGCCCGGCTCCCCGAGTTATAGCCGTTCGAAATCGGGGGTCCCAGCGAACGGCGATCCGGTAGGGGGCATCCCCGAGGCCCGCCACTCTAGCGTTCGGGCAAGGGTTCCCCTGGGACCTCCTCCCCCGAATTTGAGCTCTCTGGGTCTTTGCGTTCCAGAGATACGAGCGATTTTCTTCAAAGATCGTGACGTCACCGGCGTCCGCAATTTTGCAGCGCGCCCGATGGTTTTCTGCTAATATCTCCGCGAAAACACCACCAAAAACTATGGAACTTATATGGTTCTTTTCAGCTCGACTAGATGGTCCCAACGAGCTCGGTGCTCGCCGAATCCGTCTAGTATTCGCCGAGATATTTGCGTAATAGACGGTATTGTCTATGAGTTCGAGCACGAGCGCTCTTGTAAAATTTGGTTGCAATCTGAAACATCACCCCTAGAAGCCGCTAAAAGTTACATAGAGCACCTTTAATGTCCCACCATTCCTTTCTCATGGGATGTCAAATGTGATATGACAAATGAATGGGATTTGCTGCCTTGCATGTTTAAATATTTTTGTTTCAGACAAAATTTTATTACTTTTTTAATGCTATACATATATTAGTGCCGTCAATCAGTTATTCAGTCAAGAGCAGTGAGTGATTTACTTTTTCTTTTCTTTTTTTCTTTAATTACCCTTAATGACAGACAGCAGCAAGTTTATTAGGCTGCTGTCACTTTAAGATCCGAAAGCACATGACACGCGGATCTGACGCACATCCTATTTTCTCACAACTCGTTACGTTCTTTTAAGACTTCATTTAACTCGTTTAAGACTGCTCTTATGAGGATACTCCACAAAACTGGCACTTTGGCATAGTTTGTGAGTCTTTGTCCGTCCAAGGCTTTCTGTGGGTTTGTTTCGATCACATTTACAGGCTACATTCGGGCCTCTCCAGAGTAAGAAAGGCGTTCGCCTGCATTCAGTAGTTCTCATTTATGTTAACGTGTGGTCTGTGGCCCATGAGTGAGGGCAAAGCAGGCCATTTAAAAAAAAAAAGCTTCAGGCAAGCCAAGCAGCCGACAACGAGAAGCCAAAAAGCGCCAGCTCAAACGACTGCTGTGCTAATTGTTCTGAGGGTGTGTCCGTCTGTGGCTCTGGAGAACGCCAGCGAGTTCGGTTTGCTCCAACTTTTCCTGTCTGTGCGCCTGCTTTTTTTAGTTTGAAACACAAATATTGAAATGACGGCAAACGCAAAACAAATGTTTCACTCCAGGGCTTTGTGTTAACATTGATGTCTGTATTAAGTGGATAATAGTTATGTGAAGTACAGTGACAACATTCTGTTCACCCTGAGCTCAAGTAGGCATCTGGCACTGCGACGCCCGAATCATGTTGCTTGGCAGTCGCCGCTCATTATTTAAGTTCACTTATACCGCTGGGTGTGTACTATTAAAATGAGTGCTTACATGTGTTTCGGAGAACACACACATATACCCAAGCTATTGCACTGAGACATATAGTCCATATGCATGTGTACATAATGTTTGTTTATAAGTGCACACATGTACATGCATATGTTCATAATTGAAGATGTTGTATAGAATATTGTAAGGTGTGTGTGTAACATGCCGCTCGTGTCTCTTATCGCAGCGCCCAGTGCCGGTCCCCGGGGGGTCACTGTAACAGGAAGCGGAGACAACGGCACAGCGATCCTGGTATCCTGGCAACCGCCCCCAGAGGAGGAGCAGAACGGCCTGGTGCAGGAGTATAAGGTACGAACCAGAGGAAACAGACAATGAGAGAGGCAGACAAAGAGAGTGTGGGGGGGAAAAACAATAGAGTGATGGATGGAAGTAGAGGAAGGAAATAGGAAGTGGAAGAGGAAATTATATTTACTGGGTCACAGTCGGTTTGTTTTATGATGTGCTGGTGGTGAAGGGATGGAGAGAGTGGATACTGGTTTGATTTTCTTTGAGGGGTTTTTAGCTGTTGTGACATGCTGCCATCTAGTGGTTAACATAAGGTGTTACCACAACCTTCGCCAGACAGATGCGCTCATAGAGGGGGAGTATAGGCTCATATTGGGTATTTCCATATCCTGGATGTGCCAAAACATTCCCTTATAAGCATGTTTTGATATATTTGTAGGTTTATATATATATATATATTTCTATGTAGTAAGTGTAGGCCTATATAATAATAACAGCTTTATATATATATATATATATATATATATATATATATATATATGGTAACACTTTACTTGAAGGGGTGTACATAAGACTGGCATAACACCTTCATAACCATGACATGACACATGTCATGAATATGAAGTAGAGTTTATGCATGTTTATGACAACTGTCATTAAGTGTCTTTCTTTCAATAATGACATTTTGAATGCAAATATGACATTGTTTAAGATGTCTTTGTTATGACACCTTGACATAAACCATAACATCATAACCTGTCAGTGTCTTTGTCATGACACCTTGACATTAAATTAAGTTAAACTGTCATGTGGTTGGTTTTGACATTGGCTGTCATAAGGCCATTATAACTGTGTCATGAATATTTTTCGTGACCTCAACTACAGTGGTACAAATTGAATTTGTCATTAAACAGTTATAATGCCTAATGACAGCCAATGTCAAAACCAACCACCTGACAGTTTAATGTAAATTCAACCAATAAAGCTAAGTGGTTTCTTAAGTTTGATAATTAATCTGCTATGTCATGTTTATGACAGGTTGTGTTGTCTTAGTAATGTCAAGTTGTCATGACAAAGACACTGACAGGTTATGATGTATTGGTTTATGTCAAGGTGTCATAACAAAGACATCTCAAACAATGTCATATTTGCATTAAAAATGTCATAATTGAGCGAATGACACTTAATGACAGTTGTCACAAACATGCATAAAACCTCCTTCATATTCATGACATATGTCATGTCATGATTATGAAGGTGTCATGTCAGTCTTATGCACACCCCTTCAAGTAAAGTGTTGCATATATATATATTGCTATGAAGTCTATAAAATATCTTTTTTTTTATTTATTTTTTTTATGCTCTTTTTGACCATCAAAATATCCATTTGACTGCTTAATGTGGCAAAATGTTCCCTTTTAAACATGGTACGTTATTTTTCCTAAAAAAAGTTTTGTTTTTTTTGTAGACGCTTTGTGTCTTTTAGTGCCCCCTTTGCTAGTATGTACTTTTGCAATATGACTAGACATACAATTATGATTGCGGGAACGATTTCCTAGTGTATACTCTTCGTCCTTTATTCTCTTTCTGCATGTCTTGATGTGCTTTTCTTGTCCAAACAGGATAACGGAGCCCGTCTCATACGATATTCCTCGCAGGCTCTCCGATTTTAATGGGTTTGCGTCGTTTCAGCGTTTAGTTCGTATGCCGCGGCTGACGGGAAGAGGCTCGGTTTGAGTCGCTCGGTCCCACTTAATTTTCCAGGTAAATGTTTTCAGGCAGTGTAAGAGAAGGTAGTGAGTAATTTCATGCTTGTTAAATTGGGCGGAGAAGGATTTTTCACTAATCACTTTTCTCGTAGGCCTACACTTATTTTTTTTTCTGCCCCGTTGTGCCTCGGGAGAACTTCAGATCCCTCAGAACGTCCTTTCTCGTTACCTCACTTTCGCTCTTTTTACACTTAATCCACTTTTTTTTCTTTCTTTGAAGCCTTCGGGGATGTCTAAATCTGGTTTGCGTTTCTGAAAAGATGGACGTCAGCATGGAAAAACATGTAAAAAAGCATTTTGTTGCTATGTGTGATTCCGTTGAGCTCAGTGTAGACCTGTGCGCTGACCCTATAATGGAAGTTAGGCGGTCAGAGAGGGGGCTATATCACATTTCACTCCGGTGAATGGGACCCCTGCCGGGCCTGTGATTGTGTTAGGGTGAGGGTGGCTGATCCAAGCTCTGCTCACGCACAGGGTCGCACACACACTTTTGACGCTCATTTGGACGGCATGGCTGGCTGAGCTTCCCGAGAGGAGGAAACAGACCAGGGTTCACTGCGCGCAATGAAAACAAAGAAAACTGCATTTTCATGTCAGATGTCGGTACCACAGATAGGGAGTGTTATTGTAGGTGGTGAATCTTGTTTTCATGACACGTCTCAACTTTAGCGCTGCATGATAGTGTGTGAATTTATCCTGGACGACTGACGGCAAGGTGGTTGCCAGATCTGCGTTACAAAAGTAGCCCAACGACCATATCCCAGATATCCAAATTCAAAATATGCCATTTCTATACCTAACAAACATTATTTTACAATCACTGGTATGCAAAGTGAACACCACTATATCATAGTGATCATTAGTCCAATATAACGTTTTTCAATACAAGCATTTCAGTCAAATTTAAAAGGGCAGTCAACATTCTCAGACGAGAGATATTTATATGTAACATTAGATACAGTTATTTGTATGTTATCTGTCTGTTTGTACAAACAAAAGTTTGAATTGGACAAAAATGAATTGATGCTTTTCAGATATTTTGATCAAAACATGTTTAAATGCTTGAGATTAGTTTTTAGAAACAAATATAATAATAATAATTTGACACATACCTGTAGGACACTTAATTTATGCTTCACTTTATATTAAGCATATTTTGTTTTAAAGACCTTTGATGCTTGACATGATTTTTTTAGACAAAATATATAAATCAATAAATTAATTCATAATACACATATTTTTACACAAAGGTTTGGTCTCATTTGAGTGAAATTATGCTTCTCTTGAAATTACAAATATTTTATTCTAAAGACTTTAAATGCTTGAAATTAGTTTTTTACACAAGATATAAAATTAAATTAATTAAAAATATATATATATAATTTTACACAAAGGTTTGGACACGCTTTACTAAATGTATTCTTCTCATGATCATACAATTATTTTGTTTGAACTGCTTTCAATGAGTTCTTTGATAAAATAAGTAAACAATAATAATAAATCCTACATTTTAATTTCTTTAGTTTAATGAAAGTGTTGTTTCTAACTAAAACAATATTGTGGGCACTACATAATTCCTATACTTCCATTTGTGTTATTTCACTTTTTTTTCAAGACTTTTCTTGAAGATGTGCAAAATAGTACGACTTTTGACCGGTTAGTCTGTGTTTGCATCACTTAAAAAGGTTCACTCGTTCAGATCAGACTTGTTATTGGACATGAATCAGTGCTAAACGCTCGTCTCCCGTCCTGTTTTCTTCACGTTTCCTCCCTCAGATCTGGTGTCTTGGTAACGAAAGCCGATACCACATCAACCGCACTGTGGACGGTTCTACACACTCGCTTCTGATTCCCGGCCTGGTCGCAGGGGTCACGTACAGGGTGGAGGTGGCAGCCAGCACCGGGGCCGGTCCCGGGGTCAAGAGCGAGGCCACGTCCTTCCAGCTGGGTGAGTCGGACTTATGTTGTTCTGATTGAATACTGATTCTCTTGATAATGGGTTACTGAAACACAACAAACACTCCGATACAGCTACCGGCCCTTTTTAACACTCGGTTGATGATAATGGACATTATTTGAGCCTTCTCTTTAAAAAAAACGTAGGGAACGGCACGGTTGAGGCACAGCCTTGTGGTTAGCCTCCAAAATGTATGTAATTTACAAAAACAACCTTATCAGAGTTCTCATCGAAGAATAAAGGAGACACAAGGTGCAGTTTAAAGCCTTTAATTGCTTTAAAAGTTTATTTCTTCATAAACTCACCAGCTTTAACTTGTTCAGCCTCAAGACATCGGTGGCAATGGTTAAACCGCTCTGAATGGAAATGATTGTGGCACAGCCTGTTTTTTTTTTTGTGCCAGTGCATACAGGTGGATAATAGGCCATCCGGTTATGCAAATCTGATTTTAATAAGACGTCAATCACAGTGCCGTCAGAGACTATTTAACAGTCAGACGTCTGACAGAAAGAGATTAAATAGTATTCTGAAACCGTGATGGATGCACAAAGAGAGACACGTCCAAGGAAAACGGTTGATCACTTTTCGAGCTTACAGTAAATGTTCTCAATTGTAGAATGAGCTGGTTTTTAAAGGAGTCACGAATTGAGAAATCACATTTTCTTTGATCTTTTGACATTTAAGATGTCAATCATGTACTATACAATATCCTGTAAGTTTCAAAACTCTAAACTTCCTTGTTAGTGCAAAAGAAACCGCTCTCATTGAAACCAAGTATGATGTAATAGTGCGACATATTGCCTCTTTAGCCCCGCCCACATCGGCGCATGTCATACAAGTAAATACGAGAGAGACGCAAACACAGGATTACTCCAGCAACGTCTGACGTTTTGCAGTTCCAGGTTGTGAAGAACAGTCTTTGCATTGCCTTCCTTGTGATCCCAAACATGGATGAACTTTATTTTTTAACAAAGCAAGACAATTTTACTGCGGGTTCGTTTTTAAACAAGACAGTTCGATGCCGGATTTTCAGAGAGACTGAAAATGAAAGATGATGCAGTGACGACTATATTGGATCCTACAGTAATGCCACAGCACACACCTGTGAGGAACAATGTTTTCACCATGTGTCACCATCGCTTTGTCTGTTACAGATCGTTTGATATGTGCTCACTTTACTGAAAATGATGAACGATGTGATATATAACTGTGGAAACACTTTAACTTTATTTACCACAACCAACCAAGACTAGATAAAGTATATGTAACACGCATAAATGTTTTTCAACAAATGTTTCAACTACGTAACGAAATAAACACCTTTCTGTAGCATCTTCATTAAAACACTAATATATGTAATAATATACAATACTACCTCAAAAATACATGAGGATAAATATAACTAAAGATTAATGAGCATGCTGTGAGTAATACTAATACTTGTCCCACATTGAAAGACGTTGAGCTGTAACCTCACATACAGATCCACAGTAGAGGCAGTTGTAGCCTCACGGCGAGGTAAACAAGGGCCACTGGAAGCAGAGGATGCTGGTCTCAAAAGCATTTGTCACACCGTGGGCTTTCTTGCATCTCTGCAGCCTACGCACCTGTCCTGGCCTAAGCTTCTCAGCGGAGTCTCAGTCACGACCAAACAACAAACAAAACCTCCGAGACAGGAAGCACAAAGAACAGACTAAAATTTTTTTAAAAAAATAAAAAACACGGAGCGGGGAATACAGGGGGGATGAGGAAGAGATGCTCAGGTTTCGGAGGAAGCTGTTTGCCTCCCGGCTGGAAAAGAACTGAACATAGTCAAATGATGAAAGTGATGCCCACATGAAACAGGGAGGAAGAGGAAAACAAGTCAAGCAGAATGAAATTTATTGTGGGTCGACAGCCCTAGTTTCTCTTTAATGTAAAAAAGAATAAGAGAGGGAAGTTTTTTTGTTTTTTTTTTGGTTGCAGACAGACAATGTCTTGTCATTCATAATTTATCTTTTACATAATAGATAAAAGCACTGAACTTTCCATTCTAATTCTTATTCCAGTTCAAAGTCAACTTTAGCGAAATGAACCGCGCTAAATAAAGCTATAGTTTTCTGTTGCTGTTTTCTGTTTCAAGTAAAATAATGGCTTGTTTTGTTTATAATGTCAAGTATTATTTTTGATATCAAAATAATTGTTGTTAAAACGATCATCCGTGAAATATTTGATACATTCAAAGGAATATTGTGAGTTAGACGAGTTCTAACATGCGAAACAATATTGTTTATTGACTTTAATATTACATGTATCTACATTAGATTAAAAAAAGTACAAAACACTTTTTGCTGCTGACTATTTAACCTGGAATAGTCCTTTAATTTTTGCATCAGTGATATGGTTTATGTCAAATGTTTCATTTCTCGTCGTCTCGATCTCAGACTCGTCGGGTCGTGTTCTTCCTCCGCCGCTGGACGATGAGAACACGATTTCTCAGCAGATCTCGGACGTGGTCCGCCAGCCGGCCTTCATCGCGGGCATCGGCGCGGCCTGCTGGATCATCCTCATGGTGTTCAGCATCTGGCTCTACCGGCACCGGAAGAAGAGGAACGGCCTGAGCAGCAGCTACGCCGGCATCCGTAAAGGTCAGTCCAGAGCTTCCTTTAGCGCTGCTGATGCTAAACTACTGATTTGACAGTGTATTCGCATATAACGATTTAAAAATACATCAAATATATCATAAGTAAGAGGTTAGTCACCCCAACCTAATAATTTTGAGTTTATGAGCTATTATTAAGAAGGCGTGGCGTGTCTCTCATCTGATCTTTTAATATGGAGTCTGTGTGTTCATGTCTTAGTCAGAGGCAGATGTTTGATCGTTTTACTATCGACTATCTTCTTTTCTTCCTCTGGTAGTGTCGTGTTTGGCTTGTGTTGTCTCGGGTTTAATCCCAAACGTAAGGCTCTTTTATTAAAGCTAGTATGAAAATACTTGACTTAGTCTGTATATGAGTCTGATCCCTTCACTGCCATAGAAATCGTTTTTTTGTTTTTTTGTTTTCCCTGTGGTCCAGTGTTTTAAAAAGCCGTTTCCTCCTTTGACCCTGATGAATCACAATGAATTCCTTACAGTCGAAAATTCAGAGCTCTCTTTCGGTTTTCTCCTTTATTGAAGAGAAGACAGAGACGGTGAACGGAACAATGCTGGTATAGCTAACGTGTCTCAAGGACATGAAGCTAATGGAATGTTTATTGGCAGGAATCTAAAGGAAAAGATCCAAGCCATTCATTAGCGTTAGCATTCATAGACTCCCAAGGCTGGGCCGCATTCAAGTTAATTGAACGTGTCGACCACAAGAGCACAAAAAAAAAGCCAAAATGAATATGTCCATTTTTCAAGGTCGAGAGCACCTGAATTCATTTACCGGGATGACTCGACGACTTCTTGTTTCGACGACCGCACGAGATTGACAGGCAGCTTTCAAAGAGACATTCTTTCTAAATGCTAGTGGAATTATATACAACATATCTTACACAACACAAAGACTAATTACAAGGCTCAACATTATAAGGATTACATGTGGATATGTGCTTGTATGGCTTGCAAACTTAAAGAAATGTTATTTAGTCTAGTCATCTCTTAGTCTAGTTAGTTATAACCGTGTTATCTAGTCTTAGAAGCAATAACATTGCGCATGATAGTATGTATGCCTTGCAGAAAGTATGTCAAAAAGTAGTGTATTTTTGTGCCTGAAAAAGGGACTTTTAACACCATGAAGTGCCTCTGACCTCTGGTTTTAGTGTGTTTTGAGCTGCTAAAGACGTTCCCAGTTTTTGTATTGCTCTGCAAGCCACAAGAATCCACAGGTTGCCATGTTTGAACCGGTCGCTGCCAGTCTCTTAAGCGTGAACGTGTTTGAGCAAAGGTGTATAATAGTAAACACATGAAGTGGTAATCTGTTTTCCGGGTGGAACGGCGTGATGCGGCTGGGAGAGATGTATAATCTTGCAGTGTGTGAGAGAGTATGTGCATGCGTGTTTACCTGTGAGTGTGTGATAAATTGTTTAAATACACAGATCATCCCCAGACCTCCGAGATTTGATTTACTTATCGTCCATCAAATGATATTTTTTTCCCATGCTGCATTTGGCCTGCCAAGCGTCAATCTACTTCTGCTTCAAAACCATCATGCATACAGGATAAAATCATAAAAAAAATAAAAAAAACGGGCCAATCTATTAGACTCATCTTTTCTCAGAGCACTGCCAAGAACCAGACGAGCGCAGCCGATAAACGTGACATTTGAAATGGACGGCGGCGGCTGACAATTTTAAAGGTTGTTTTCCCGTAAATATGCGAAGATGAGAAGGTGAAGACAGCAGGTGTTGAATTCTGATGTATCGATGTAACGCTGCCAAAAAAACAATCCTGATGGAATCACGCGCAACAGCTTCCTGCGCCGATGATACTTTGATGTTTCTGATGGGCTGTTTATTATGAATTCTGACCCCATATCGCTCAGATTAATTCAGCCGTGTTCATCTGCTTATTGGAGCCTTTGATCAACATGAAAGAAACTAGATTTTAGATCAGATCGAGGGGCATGTGTGTTATAATAGATTTAAGTTATAGTTAATTAAGTGCAGCCTTGCACGAATGCTTTCTATCTGATGTTACGTGTCTGGATTAATATAATATAATTAATATTTTTTTATTTTAAATATTTTTTTTTAAATTAATATAAATAAATAAAATGTTTAATAAAATAATAGATAAAAATTAGGGCTGTCAAACGATTAATCGCATCCAAAATAAAAGTTTGTGTTTACATAATATATGTGTGTGTACTGTGTATAATTATTTTGTATATAAATGCACACATGTATATATTTTAAAAAAATATGTTATTTTTATATATATATAATGTTTATATTTATATAAAATATACATTATATATAGGCTACATTCAGTCTATATACAGTACATACATGCAAATATTTCTTAAATACACATGCATGTGTGGGTATTTATGTATTAAAAATAATTATACACAGTACACACACATATATTATGCAAACACAAACTTTTATTTTGGATGCGATTAATCGCGATTAATCGTTTGACAGCCCTAATAAAAATACAATTAAAATTTTTAATAAATAAAATATTTTATATAAAAAAAAAATGTATTATTATTAAATTACATTAAAATAAATGCATTATATTAAAATAATTATATGAATTATTTATTGTAATAATACTATGTAACATAAAATATATTTTTTTTATTTAAAAATGTTTAAATTACATTTAATGGAGCTTTTGTGGCAAGTATCAGTATTACTATTGGTGCTGTAATCAAACTTGCTATTTTCACCTGGCGGATGATAAAAATGCATATAAATTGAGGGGAAATTCTATAGATTAACAATATAGTGACAAAATATAGTAAAGAGAACTCGTTGGACCTGGGCAAGTATAAGCAACTCTGAATACCCTAATATCTAGACATCAATATTTTCTCCTCTATACAGATATATAGAGTGAATCAAACACACAAACCCACAACTGTAAAACCACAGAGATCAGATGACAAGGAGAATGAAATGACCTCTGTATTTATGATGAGGTTTTAATGTTCTGTGTAATTGGTAACAGACCTGTTACAGTACATCAGAGACTCTAAAATATAATGGCAAATGCCTTATTGAAAACTTTTCCCAATAACTGCACAGTACTGCTATGATGAATCATTAATTTAGGAATAATAAATTCTAAATGTGAATCTGATGAATTCTTTGTCTTTCTCTTTGTTCTGTGTGTCTGCAGTGCCCTCCTTCACCTTCACCCCCACAGGTAATCACACCTTCCTCACAGCACATGTGCACATAATTCCCACAATCCCTAGAGTGTGACGACTTCCTGCCCAGTGGAGTTGGAAAGTGCACTGCGGTATAATGTTTGCCAGCCATTGTAATGAAGTGTCCCTCAACACTGGCTTCAGTCACGTTCGTTCTGCCCAGCAGAACTCAAAACAAACATGACACCACCAGGCCGAAAGTGTGGGAGGCACGGCCTCTCTTTAAAAATACATCTCACCACAAGAAAGGAACCCCAGTCTGAGGTTTACATGGATAATCAAAGAGAACTTCACTCGCATGGACTTGTCAGCATAAAAAGAAGTCCAAAAAAAAAAGACAGAGAGGGAGGAAAGCGCTTAAAGAAACGAGTGCTTGACTAAAGAGGGCTGTTAGAACTGGCAAAGGAGCTGATCAAAGCGCTAACGCTGGATAGGAAGCTGTGACATCAGAAGTTTTGTGGCCAATTAGACGGAGAGTGGAACTGGCCTAGCGTGAGGATTGAACTCGGATGACTTTTACATGCCAGAGAAAGACACTTGGACCCTTTCATTATTTTTCATCTCGTGCAATCTTTCTGAAACCGCTGTTGACTCACCTAGTTTAGGGAGTTTCTTATTAAAGGGGCGAGAGAGGCGCGGATGATTGAGAAAGAGAACGCTTGTTTTTAGTAGCAAATTCAACCAAACAAGCTTTATTTCCATACGTTTACTGGTTTTAAATGAAACGCAGGGGGCTTGCAAGATATGAAAGAACATATGCAAGCTTGGATGAGCTTTCTTAGCTTGAAAGTGTTCAAAATATGCCATCATTTATTCATCCATGTTTTTTTCCAAACCTGTATGACTTACTTTCTTCTGTCGAACACAAAAGGACACATTTAAAAGACATTTTAGATGTTTTCCATGTTGTTTTTTCTTCATTAATGCACTTTCTTTTATCTACAGTGGCCTATCAGAGAGGAGGAGAGGCCGTCAGCAGTGCGGGAAGGTGAGATGTTCTTAAAAAAACACACATTTTGTTACTTAACACCTTAAAATAGCCACGCTAATGTTCATCAGAAGCCAACAATGTCCATGTGGAGGGTGTGTACTGTAGTGTAGTTGCATTTTGTTGACACTAGGGGGCATTTTTGTCTTGGCAAAGACGCCTTTGGAGGTTGTACATTGAGACGGAGTCCTGCAGAGCCCAGATGAGACAAAAGCCCTTCGTTTCTACCATGTCAATGCAATCATTTTGCATGCAGGTGCACCAATGCTCATATGCAGTATGCTTTGTTTGAATAGTTGCAGACGATACTTAGTGTGTATTTCCCTTTATGTCGTCTTTTAGAGTCTAGCTTTTCATTGAGGAGGTCTTTGCCCTTGCCTGGAGGAAAGGTTTACGCCGGTTTTGAAGCTTAAAGAGTCTGTTAGAAAAATACAAGAAAGAGACAGACCATGAGAGCTTGCTTTGAAGCATCACGTTGCACAAAACTCTTTCTATGATGTTCTTTTTGTGCCTTTGATAAAAGTCCCTAAAAAAAATCTCTCCGAATCCCCGTTTCCTCCGAATCATTTTAATGTGACCTTGTTTTATCACATTGTCTTACAAAAGACAGTGTTTTGAAATACAAAATCTTACACCACTGACTTTAAGTGCAAGATTTGATAGAAACGGTTAGTACGGCTCTGGGTGTATTCATATATGAGTTTATCCAGAGCCTTCTTCAGCTCGAGATCATGGTGATTGACTGTGACACCCTGGCATGCGCTTGGAGCTCCAAGCTCTTCCTTTAGCGATGGCTCGGTTCATTCGTGTTTTTCTTTCCCAGGCTGGAGCAGCAATGTTCTCCAGCGCTTGGCTAATCCACACAGAGATCTAACGGTCACGAGGCCTCAGGGAAACGGTGTCATCAGCCACGAGCAACTCAAGCAAACACAATCCATTTAGCACAGATACAGCCCTGAGAGATGCACTGGGATAGAAGAAGATGGGATGAGCTTCTTATTTAAAGCTGAAGTGTGTCATTTCACCACCACCACCACCGAATGGTGTTCCCTCGGCCTGCCATTGGTCAGACAAACAGTTAGCCCAGCCCTAAAACTTCAATGTTACTATGTTGGCCTCATATGATTCCTGTCTGTATTGAGTAAAAAAAAGTCACAAAAAGTCTAAAAACCGAATTAAAACAAGACTGATCACGATCACACCTTGTGCATTTACCGTTTCCAAATTAAAGTTTGTAATAAATCACATTGTGTCTGTTTTTTAGGCCGGGTTTATTGAATATAGGTGAACCGGCAACCCAGCCCTGGCTTGCGGACACCTGGCCCAACAGCTGCTCCAATCAAAACGATTGCACCATCAACTGCTGCACCGGGAGCAACGGAAACAGCGACAGCAACCTGGCCACCTACAGCCGCCCAGGTGAGCCTGTGTAGTCTCGTTGTTGTGGTGTACAAATATTCCACTTTATCTCGCACTTCCAAACATGTAGCATGTTAGTTTAAAATGCATGGAAGCTGATGTTTAAAGAAGCAAAATGATGATTACCAATAGAAATTATTTTTCACATTTATTCATTTCGTAAGCGCTTTAACCCAAAGCATCAACTGAGGAAAGACGATCTCTGAAAGAGTTACTTACAACTGAGGAAAATACTTGCTTATCAGGGTTTATTATGGTCTCTGTGACTAAATGATGTGTTTTATTTGATTTAAAGCAACCAATTACCATTAACGGTGTTCATTTCACTCTTTTATCGCCATGTTCGTGCAATGCCATTTTCCTAAATCTCATTGAAGTTTTGGCTTATTAATTTCCACCCAAGTTTCCAACTTGGAAGAAGTGGCGTTCTATTGCACCGTTCCAAGCAGGAAATTCCAACTTTCCAAGTTTAATGGAATGCAATATAAATATTGTGTCCTTCCTTTGACACACGACTGTGTGTGATTTGTTGGGAACTTTTAGGGAAAATAAAAGCTCCCGATATTGAAAAGGCCCTGCAGGCTGTAGTCCAGCTAATCCAATCAGCTGCCTGATTTCCATACCGCCGTTAGAACCTTTTAATGCAGTTTCTCTAAGTGCTCGCTTATTCAGGGAACCAGGAGTAGTTACAGAGGTCAAAATAGACCTGAGAGAAAGAAAAAAAAGAAAAGAAAGGGCGAGGAAAGAGGAGGAGTGATGGAGCACCTCCAGGTGGCTTTTTTTCAGGAGTCAGCAAGTTACTTTACAAACAAAAGAACGCCAGGTTGACTCGTGAGGCCAAAGAGACACACAACACTGAAAGTGACAAAGTAGTGTTAATTTACAGTCACCCAGTTTTCACAAAGCAAGTCTTAGTTTGGACAGCGGTGTCACTGTTGGTTCATTTAATGATATTTAAACGTTACTACAAGAGCTTTTTGTTCCCAGATATCAGCTTGTGTGACTAAGCCATTGGCTAAGAGCATTTCATTCATTACAGAACCCTTAAATGGATCCAATCCTTTTAGAAAATGTCTTTCTATTGAATATAAGAAATCTGTTCCCATATTCATGGATAGACCTGAGGATTAAGCTTTGTGTTTGTTCATACCATTCATAGAAACCATAGATGGGGCTATTCTAACCCAAAAGCTTTGCTTTACCTTTGATATCCGTTTATTTGGAGTGTTTTCACTAACAGATTTTTATCCATGTCGCCTTCGTCAAAGCAGGAATGAAGGGTAAATGTTGAGTGACTCTCACAGCATGACATGTTAAAAGCTTGACACCCGCTTGCCTGGTGTGCCAAATACTAAAAAAAATCTCCAGGATATTAACCGGATCAGTACCCATAGGGCTTCTCTGGAAAGACTTACGACTTAGTTTGTCTCATTCCATGGGATCTTTTATCATTGATACGTCAACCTTTGAAGTGCAGAGCCGTTCCTTCTTATGGAAACATGAGCTACGCTCGAAATCTGTCCAATGGCAGGCCGCGGTATTTACGCGCCAAGCTTCTTGCTCAGATCCCAGGGAGGATTTGAATATTTTATGAGCCGGGGAAAATTGGATCTGTCAGAGGATGGGGCTTTTACAGCGTTCCTCGTTTTGGAGGCTTTTGATTCGGACGTGTTGGAACATCCTGCTTGATGAGCCGGGATGCCTTTCGCACGGCTGTTCGAGAAACTCAAAGCGACACGCTTGGCTTGTGTCGTGGACAAGGGAAAAAATAGATTGTACGGTATCAGGGAGTTTAATCTTAGTATTTGAATTTGAGAAATTTCTGGTTTCAAGTGTCCTTTCTGTCTGAAAACATCCTTCTCGGTTTTAAAGCTAATCTGTATTTTAAAACCAACCTAGTGTCTTCGCTCCATGAGTTCCATCCATTAGTTTTCAATCCAGTTGTATCCATAGGTCCTAAACAGTCTACTAGTCCATTGGCTATCAAAATGTCTTACCCCTCCTTCTGTCGTCCAGCTGACTGCATTGCCAACTACAGCAACCAAATGGACAACAAGGCCAGCAATCTGCTGGCTCCAGACACAGGCCTTTACAGCGACGTGGACCTCTCCAACAAGATCAACGAGATGAAGACCTTCAACAGCCCCAACCTGAAGGACGGCCGTTTCGTGGGACCCGGTGGTCAGCCCACGCCCTATGCCACCACCCAGCTCATCCAGTCCAGCCTGGCCAACAACAACATGAACAGCAGTAGCTGCGGAAGTGGAGGAGGAAGTGCCGACTTTAACGAGAAGCAGAGCTGGAAGAGCAGCCAGGGAACGCCTCAGAAACAGGCCGACATCAACACACCACTGCAGTATAACGTCATGGAACAAAACAAACTCAACAAGGGTGAGTTCTGTGGATTTAATTGCGCTCCCAAAAAGAGTTAAAGCAGATTTATTCAAATTTGTCTTCAAAGAAACCCATGCCATGTTTTCTGGGTTTACCACAAAGGTGTGTAATCAAGGTGCTGCACTTCTGGTCTTGTTATTCAGTTGTCTCCTCATATTCAAACCATACCCAAAAAGTTAAAGCAGATTAGAAGACTAGTTCAAACTCTTCAAAGAAACCCATGCCATGTTTTCTCGGTTTACCACAAAGGTGCATCGTCAAACTGTTGCTCTTCTTGTCTTGTTGAACAATTGTCTCCTCATATTCAGACCGTAATAAAAGTGTTACACGATTTTGATACTTAATGGCATCTCTGGCACCTTTACATGGGGCTCTTTGACTATCTAACCCCTTTAATATCTGTCACGGCTGCTCGTGTTGCGTATATGTGTAATTTAACTCGACGCTCTGCTAGTCAACTTAATCCATATTTATAGCTGTTGTTTTACTGTTTGGATGGGGATGAAGGTAAAGAGGAGGCTGTGAAGTGTCGGATATCTCAGAACAGTGTGAAGCCAGAGATCTTAGATTACTGTACAAATAAGGGGGAATGTAACTCAAGCTCAAAGCTATCCATTATCTGCTGCTTTATATTGTGCCACTGAAAAGGTAATTGTGTTTGCTTTCTAACTCAACTTGCATGAATCTAACTGTGTGTGTGTGTGTGTGTGTGGGTGTGATATTTCACACTTGGTAGACAATTGAAACCAGTCACCAACAAGTCATAACAGCTTATGACTGAAACCCTTTTGTAACCCTTTACCACTCGACTGTCTGATGTTCCACTCTGATGCGTTTTGTCTGCTTTTATAAGAGCTTTCATTCGTCTAGTTCACAAAATAACTTTTATTCAGTTACTCTGGTATATAATGCCTCACCTGGATGTATAATACAAACTCAATCTCTTGACTGTAAACCCTTAGACCACTACCGAGGTGAGGGTCCCATCTCAGTCACCATCCCCTATAACCAGGCCCAGGACGCCCTCACAGGAGGAACCTACAGCAGCTCGGATAGGGGAAGCAGCACCTCTGGTAAGACATCCGTCTATTGTTCTGTTGATCTATCTATCTGTTCATCCGGTGAACGTGATTTCACCAAGTACCACATGTTCCTGGATCAACATCTTTGTTGATCCTGGATCAACTTTCCAATCAACCAATCAGATTTGAGGGACAACTTTACAGTTTGTCAAGTTTAGGCTTAGAACCAGAGTGAAGTATTTAAACATCAGTGTTATTCACCAATCATTACCCTCTGATTTTAGGGAAAAGTTATGGGTAGGGTTAGGTTTAGGGGTAGGGATTGGGACAGGAATGTTGATCCAGGATCAACAAAATATGTTGATCCAGGGCCATGTCTTACTTGGCAAAATCACGGTGACCCTGTTCATCCATCCATCCAACCAACCAACCGATGGTTCATTTCTTACGAAACCTGCATACATAACCTACTAAACATTCGCAATTTACCCATTATTCCATTTTCTTTTCATTTCCATTATTTCTGAGCCTTTTCATCACTTCAAGAGGCAGTAAATCATATGCAAAACAGGACATTTTCAAATCGTTTGCTCATTGTTAAAAAACTGCGGGGAACAAAGAGAAACATTTATGTCAGAACAAAAGGGGGTGATTCTTCCTCATGATTTCTGAGGTGCACGGACGCATATCTTAAACACGGCAGCAACAATCACTCCCTCATTCCTTATTTCTTTAGTTAAAACCATGTTCCCTGCAGATTTCTAAGGTCTGCCGCATTTTCCGGGGATGTTTCTGATTTGGAGGATATCCTCCCTCCCTTTTGCGTTTCGCCCCACCGTCATTAATTACTCCGGCTTTCATCCATCCGACTCAAAGAAAGGGGGGATAATGTTGTCAGAAAGCCGGTGTTTGTTGCGGGACAAAGATAAATGAGCCCCATTCTGTGGCGTATGCAAGGCTGCTGGCGTAATGCATCGTATCTATTTTTATATTGTATTTGAAGTTCAGGTAATTAAAGAGAGGGTCTGAGTGCGTGGAGGTCCTCACAGCTCATTGGTTCTGAATTTTAATTCCTTTCTGTTAATTGGCCTCCGATGTTTCTCTTTTTAATGTTCTCTCACTCTACCTCTCCTCTGGGCAATGGAGAGTGTTAGTTTTGAAAAATGACTCATTTTTGATGGAGAGCGCAGCGTTAATTACAAATAGAGAGATAATGCACATAAGCGTTTTACACCGCATAAATTATGGTGTGGGTGTCATTAATGTTGCTTCTCCTGAGTGTAAAAGTGCCATTTGTTTCACACATGCATCAAGCTCAGCAAACAAACTAACAGAAAATGAAATGAACCAGAGTTTATAAACCCATTTTGGTTTGCAATCAAATTAATTTATGAGTTCAGATGGCATTGTGGGCTAAGAACTACTATAGCTGTTTGTGTTTTTGTTTGTTTGCTTTACAGGAAGTCAAGGGCAGAAAAAAGGTGGGCGAACAACTAAACAGGCCAAACAGAACACAATGAATTGGACCGAACTGTTGCCGCCGCCTCCGGTTAATCCTCCACCATGTCAGGAATACACACTCTCGATGGACGACAGGTGAGGTCAACACACAAACAGGTTTTCACTTTTGGTGTGTATGCTTATAGTGCAAATTTCAGCAGTCGCGTGTAACGATGTCACTCCTTCTAGCCACTTTGGTGGGTTGAATTTTATATATAAAATATACATTTTTCAATTTTAGTCTTTTAAAAAGGCATCTGAAATAATAAACTATGTGCTAGGGGTGGAACGGTACACAGAAGTCACGGTTCGGTTCATACCTCGGTTCAGACATCACGGTTCGGTACGATTTCGGTACAAGGGAGTGAAAAGCAAAGCAAAAATGCAGAAGGCATTTTTATAAATGTCTTAAGCCTTGTATTTTTTTAAATAAGTTTTATTAATAAAGGCATAGAACCAGTTTATTTGTAGTGCACTGACAGTAGTTTTATATAATTAGTTTATTAATTAAATTATTAAAAAGACGAAAAGACCTTGAGATATGTTTGGTAATTGTACCTGAATGAATTTAAAATTAATTTGCTATTTCAGATCAAGATATTTGTTTTCCTTCATTTTAATTAACTAACTTTATTCTCATCTGAATTATAAATAATTGATTTCCGTATAAAATAATACTACCATAAAAACTTTTGTTAACAGGTGTAGGTTACAGTTTGACAAGAGTTTAGAGTGTGACAAAAGCACAATGTTGTGTTTTATTGCGAGTGTACACAAATATAAGTAAACAATTTGCAGTTTTAATGATGTCCTGTATGAAAAAAATGACGGAGTATGTTTTTACGTTTCCACTGTTCGATCGCCCGTGCCTCTCTCACACACACACACTCACACACACACACACACACACACACACACACACACACACACACACACACACACACACACACACACACACACACACACACACACACACACGCGCACACACACACACGCACACACACACACACACACTGTTCATCGCGCGATTCGCGCCCGCGCCTCTCTCTCTCTCTCGCACGCGCGCCCACACACACACACACACACACACTGTTCATCGCGCGATTCGCGCCCGCGCCTCTCTCTCTCGCGCGCGCGAACACACACACACACACCGCGCCTCTCTCTCTCGCACGCGCGCGCACACACACACTGTTCGATCGCGCCTCTCTCTCTCTCGCACACACACACACTGTTCATCGCGCCTCTCTCTCTCTCTCTCTCTCTCGCGCACACAGACACACACACACACACACTCCTGCATTGCAATCTTGATCGCAGCCTGTTCATTGCTGCGTTCACAGTCACACCAAAAGCGAATAGAGCGAAATTCATCGCTATTTAAGAGGTTTTTTTTATTTGTACCGTGTATTCTGCGTGCAAATTCGTGCACCGAACCGTGACGCCCGTACCGTTTCGGTTCAATACGAATACATGTACCGTTCCACCCCTACTATGTGCAATGTAGTGTTGATACATATCAAACACTTTCAATACTTATTTTCCACAGAATAGATAAACGACACCAGCTGCGCTTTCTCGCTTGAGCGAGTTGATACACAAACCCGCCTCCCCTCACTCACTCGTTTCATTTTCTCTGTATGAATATTGTTGGTATTACACGGCTTGAATTGCGGCTTGCGATTGCGCATTATTTGACTCATTCCCGCAGATTTTACGCTCACATCCAAAGTGCGCATAAAGCTGCTTCTCACTATTAAATTGAGGTTTTCTTCGCTGCTTTTTGCACTTAAACAGTCAAATACACACAGTCAAAATGCCGGTCTTGGCGAGTATTCATGTAAACACAGTCAGTTATGTTTTAGATGAACGTAAACAGTTGAGAACGAAAACGCATGTGTAACACTATAATGGATCCATGCGTCAGGTCTTAAAGTGAAAGCTGCCTAATTTATCTGCCGCCAAATTATGAGATAATATTAAAAATATCTAAATGGAAGTTTTTCCCCATGGTATAGATGTCAAAATGAGTGGGTAGTAACGTTGGAAAACCACTAGCCACAGTTGCTCTTTTAATATTATTATTAATGTGATATTTTTATTTTTATATAATATTATGAATTATTATTCTTGTAAAATGAATGAATTTAAATAATAATAAATATTTAAAATAAATATAAAATTATTTGAAAATAAATAAAATGATGACAAATGTTTAATATAATACAATATATATATATATATATATATATATATATATATATATATTGTATTAAACTTAAATAACTTTTATTATAAAAAAAGTGTTTAGTAAATATTAAAACCTAACATGATTATGCACAAACTCAAGAGGGAAACTCAAGATAGACGGTTCTAAAAAAGTCCCTATTTTATGTTCTGATCACATGTTCTTTTGTTCCGTCTTCAGTTATGACACAGACCTGCAGTGCCCTTTGCCACCATCTCGGATGTATCTGCAGCCTGACGAACTTGAAGAGGAGGAGGAGGAGGTGGAGCTGGAGCGCGGACCTACGCCTCCTGTACGGGGAGCGGCTTCCTCCCCTGCAGCCGTGTCCTACAGTCACCAGTCCACCGCGACCCTCACCCCGTCCCCTCAGGAGGAGATGCATCCCATGCTGCACGACAACCCTGACCTACATGAGCGCAGGTACGCAACAGCTCGCTAATGCTTTTCTTTTCAAACCACTTCTGCAGCGTTTACAGTTGTGATATATTTGACGTCTGTTAGGCGACTCTTGGTGAGCCCACCCCCTCCACCGCGCCCTCTCTCCCCGCCGCACACGTACGGCTACATCTCCAGCCCCCTGGGCCTGGACACGGATGGCCTGGAGGAAGATGAGGACGAGGAAGAGGGTGACGAGACGGATGCAGAGGTGGCTCGAGTCCACCAGCACCACAGCCACCCTCACCAGCAGCACTTGCCCCAGCAGAGGGCTCTCCTGCGGGGCCTGGAACAGACCCCGGCCTCCAGCACCTGCGACCTGGAGAGCTCGGTCACCGGGTCTATGATCAACGGCTGGGGCTCGGCTTCAGAGGAGGACAACGCCTCGTCGGGTCGCTCCAGCGCCGTCAGCTCGTCGGACGGATCTTTCTTTACCGATGCCGATTTCGCTCAGGCCGTGGCAGCTGCGGCCGAATATGCTGGTCTACGAGTGGCAAAGCATCCTGGGAAAGGCCACCATCAGCTTCCAGTGTCTGGAGGTACTGGAACGTGTATACGATTTCTAGTAAAGTAAACATTCCTGATGTTGTTGTGCACAATTAAAACAACTCTCCTTTCGGCTAACTCCTAAGACTTTAAACCTCCTCCTGAATCAATTTTTGAGGGATAAAGCCACAAAATATTATATTTTCACTTGGAGATATGCCACATTATGGAGGATATGGAAGTGTTCCACCGAAAGTTGTTAATATTTGCTCATGAATTTAAATGCTAATGATTTCAAATGAAGACACTAACTTTACTACTATACGTTCCACAGCTTCTGAATTAATTTGTATTCAAATGTGCAGCCTTTAATAGAGCTGAACTAAGCAAACTCTCTGTCCTCTAATTTGCCAGCAGCACGGAAATACCAAAACCTCCCTGCGGGACACCGTCCAGGCAGCCCAGTGTCCACAGACAGTAACGTTAGCGCAGCCCCGGGTCAGAGGAGGCCCCTAAAGAGGCAAAAACAACATCCAGCTGCTCAGACAGGCTACCAGCGGCGAGAGGCCTACACAGAGGGTACGTCCACACACACACACACAATTCTGCTTTCTGTACACCGTCATTAGGGATGGGATTCATGAAAACGAAATACGTTTACTATTTATTTATTTTTTAGGGGGGGGGGGGTTAAAAATAATTTCTCAAGTAAATTAAAAAACAGAATATTATATAATAAAAATGGAACATTGAAATGTAACTGTATTTTGTAATTATAAATTAAAAAAAAGAAAAGAAATAAACACTGAACATTTAAATGTTACCAAACATATAATTTACATTATAAATATGATTTACATTATAATTTGTTGTTATTCTTTTCTTTATACGTTTTAAAATATTTTTTAAGAAAAGGGACTAAACATTAACATGTTAGCAAAGTATTATCATTTACATTATGAATTTATAATATTTTTAAGAAATAAAAATATAGCTAAAGATATTATGAATTATACATTTTTGGTAACATTTTAATGTTTTTTCATCATTTTTTTATATATATATATAATATTTTGGTAATATTTTTGTGTTAATTTTGAGTTATGTTTTATTTTTTAACATTTAATTTACTTAAAATAAAATGAAAATATTAAATTAACAACACGATTATTTGGAGTTTAACATAATTCATTCATATACAGTAAATTGTAATCTAAAATCTTGATGTTGATTAAAAACTCCATAGATATATTATGCGCAAAGTACCTACACTATACATAATGAAGAGCAAGAAGGGGTGGAACAGTGGCTTCCAGCTACAGTGTGTCATAAGCGACAAGTCCTGTTGAGTCTCTAATGAAATTGCAGCAGGTTCCCAAGTTTCTGAAAAGCTCCGAAGCCTCCAGAAAGGTCATGCTATGTGTGTAATGCGTGTGGAACTGATGTATAAAGGAAGTGCTCACAAACATTTCTGCTCACAATTGTGCAAGTGTGTATTTGTGCGCACGTTCTCATCTGCTGCGTCTCGTCGTTGAGTCAGTTGTCCTTGTGTGTTGACACTGAGATTTAATATCAGACATACACAGGCCTTGGTCGGCTCTATCAGATCAACTAGCCCCTCACATCTGTCCTTCGCTCCCTCCCTTCACTGTAATCTCTTCCTCCCCCTCTTCTAATCTTCTCCGTTCCCTCTCTCTCTCTCTCGTCTTTGTTCGCTGTTGGCCGCTGAAGAGACCCAGATTGATCAGTCTGTGTCAGCTGAAGTTTCTGTTGAATGTGTGTTTTGATTTGATAGGCCTTAGTCGAGCTACGCTGTGTGGGAGGTTTAAATACAGTGTTTCACACAGAGGAGGTTGTCGTTTGAATGCGTTTCACACAAACACACTCAAAACTAAATGATATGAAACACAGATTGCCTACCAACCCCCCAAATACCACGCGTCAAACATGCAATCCCTCCCGCCTCTGTTAATTTTGCTCTTGTTTGCTCAGTGCTTTGGGTGACACCAGGCTTATTATCTCGTCCTCCTCCAACTCCTCTCCAGAAGGCCCTGTTAACCTTTCATCTGCCTCCACTTCTGTCTGGAGAGAAAAGAGCCAGTCTTTTCCAGACGTTCCTCCCTCTCTTTGTCTTATTTTCCTTCTTTTGCATGCTTCTATTAAAAGTTTTTATTCAGATTTCAAGGGAAAAAAGTTTTCTACAGGAATGTCAGACGTCTGGTTGTCAAATAGGAGTTAGAAAATATGTAAAGCGGCTGAAAGGAACATATAAATACGTACGTTGGATAAATTTCACGACTTTTCCAGCTGTTCTTCAATAATTTCACAGAGCAATTTTTAGCGGATTAGATATTTTTGTAGTGAGCATAACTAGAAAAAATATAGAATTTAAAAAAAGAAATTCTAGATGCAAATCAATTCAACACCATGTAAATATTAGAATTAGGTCTTCGAATGTGATTGATTGAATATACGTAGAATGCACGTCGACAGTTATTTTCAAACTTTAAAATTAAGAACATCCTTTAAAAACAGAGCTGTAAGAATAATTTTAATCATAAGCCAAGCTGACATGGCATTTGCCCATTAGTTCTAGCTGATGCCATTTTCTAGAGGTTTCGGTTGGTTGGCTACCATTTGATTTCTTTGCACTGCAGCCAAGTTAAAATAAAATACAGGAAGACATTAGAAATAATCTGTAGAAATATGTTTTATGTGCCTGCTTGAATGCAGTGTGTATGTTAGGCAGCTCAGGTTACAGGCAATTTTATAAACAGTTGATGCATTGGCAAAGACATGCACTACCTTTCAATAGTTTGGGGTTGGTTAGAATTTTTTTGAAGTCTCGGCTCACTAAGGCTGCATTTACAGCAAGCAACACTGTGAAATAATATTACAATTGTTTCCTAAAGTAATTTATTCCTGTGATGACAAAGCTTTCATTCAAACTTCACCTAAGCAAGAAGGACGTGTTTTACTAGTAATTTCACGGCGACGCATAAACTACACAAGCAAATAAGGAGAGTAGCGCTAGCTGTTGTATAAAGCACAGACCCCTCGTGAATCTAACAGCTCTCTTCTGCTCCTGTGAAATGTGCCCCGTCTCTCTCACCCTGGCATCGATCCGCCGCCTGACTTACTGCAAGACACCACAGGACTTAGAAAAACCATCCACGTCTACGATCGTCTGATCCTTCTCGTATTTTGCTGAGTGTCAGAGCAGTGATGAAGGCGGGCTAAGCTCTGCCCGACAAATCGAGACACGCGCTCGGTGTGCTTTGACCATGAATGTGTAAAAATGTTGACGCAGCGCCCAAGCACAATTTTTTAACTAGTCAACAAGCGTCTTAGTGACGCAATGTTTACGCAACGGGTATATTTGTGTCTCTGGTGCCTCTGGGCATGTTGATTTAAAATGTAATCAGGTTTCATCGTCCCTGGCACAAGTTTACAGGATCCATCACCGACAGACTTTTTTTTTAGCCGATGATATTTAACAAGAACAGCGATCGTAAACAACCCTGAATAACTGGCACGGGAAGCGTCGAGACATCCAGTGACAGTGATGAACCGTCATTCACAGTTTCTCGACTGACTAGCGGCACCTCGGTGGGAAAGAGCTCCAGCGTGCAGCTGTTTGGAGGGTTGCAATGCAACGGCACAGCTGTGTTTCCATGGCACCTTCCGGGTGCCAGACAAATGAGTTCTGGTGTCAATTAGCTAAACGTCTGGTTCTGAAGGACACAAGCATGTGTGAATATAGCGTGAGCTAAAATGTAAACTTGTATGGCAAATGCTAGCATTGGTACACTGACACAAGATATTGTCAAACATTCACAAAACGTGAAGGCCTGTTCTATAATGAGAACTCTCAGAAGATTTTTAGCATGGTAATGTAATTGACAATGTTGATGTAATTAGTCTTGACGGAATAGATCTGCTGCGCTGCCGTTGTTGTAGATTAATGCAGCTGCTGCAGAGAAAGTACAGGAACTTGCTACTGCCGATACATCCGCTGCTTCACAAATAGCATATATCATAGCAGATTTATACAGGTGGAGCTGGGGAAGGTGGAGGGTTTCTGAGGAAATCTGAAAGTGTGCTGCAAACTGCTATAGTAAATGGTAACCAGCCATTTAAATGTTGAGCATCAAGCTCATTGGCTGCTGATGCGACATAAACCAATCAGCTTGTGCCAAGTAGTTAACGCTGTAATTATCCTCAGCTTTCGTTAAGGACCTATCAGCCTGCACCATCTAGAGGTTCAAGACAGAACTAGGCATTTTTGTTGTTTCCTCACAGATCTTCCACCTCCTCCGATTCCTCCCCCAGCCATGCTGAAATCTCCAACACACCCGGCCAAAACTATCCCGGACGGACCACGGGGGGCTATGTCACCCAGATCCAATTCTGCTGATGGCAAAGACAAGCGAACGGGTCCGGGCGGACCCAGGCCCCGGGATGGCTCGGACACCCGGACCAGCTCTTCAGAACGGCGGGAGGGCCAAGATATGCAGAGGGGTCAAAGAACGGGGAAAAGCAGCAAACAAGATGCCAGTGCAGCCCAGAAGAGCCGCCACCACCCAGGTACTGCACTACATTCCTGTTGTCTCACATTAAATCCTACAATAAATAATGGTCAAGTTACCTACCTTTTTCATTATCTTGTCTCTTTCTGGCTCAGAGGACATCCTACCTTATAGTCGCCCATCTTTCCCAGCCATCCACAGTCCTCGTGGAGAGAGGGACCCCAGCTCCTCCAGTTCACTGTCCTCTCGGGGGTCCGGTGGACGGCGGAGAGGCGAGGGGGCTCCAGGGGCCCGCAGAAACCCTGTAGATGTTGGGCTAAACACCACAGGAGCCTTCCAGATAGATGGGGAGGAGCTTGAGGTATGTCCTCACTTCTACCATACCTGGAAATTAAAGGCAGTTCGAACGCATTTGACCACATTAATCCAGTCCAATGGGTTTTTGACTACCTCTGGAAGTGGTCAGAAGTGGACAAGCTCAAAAAATGTTTAGACCCCGTTTACACCTGTATTTTGCCGTGATCCGATCGACCAAAGCGCATATTAATACCAGGTGTAAACAGGGCCAAGGTGTTCAGGATTACTAGACACTTCTAGGCAAATGTGTTGGAGTTAAACTCTGCAGAACATTGGCCCTCCAGGAGCAGAATTTTTCATCCCAATTGTTTCTGCATTTCTAAGATTCTTAAGAATCAGGCATGGCCATTTGTAACTTGAATGTGCGAGGCTTCCTGTGTCATCCGCTTCCAGTTATTTCACCTGTACACAAACAGCCTTTTTGCTGCTTTATAATGCAAACTGGTATATCTTATCAGATTATCTTCATTAATAAACACACTGGTTTGTAGCGCAAATAGTTCTATAATTAGTAGGGGTGCGACGAGACAGTTAGCTCACAAGACGAGACACGATTTTTGTGCAAACAATAAGTGCAACCATAATCAAAGTACTCTCTCAATATTCAAAGTGCAAATAGAGAACTGATGGCAAAGACAAAAAACCACTTAATTCAGTTGGATAACGGTCGCTTCAATTTCAATTGTTTTTCTTCAAGCATGATGCAGAGCTAAGAGATGGTTACAACTGCACAGCCCAGCCTAAGATAGCTTTCATATTGGGAGATATTCGCATGCTTTAGGGAGCCGCTTTTAAAACGTGGGGTGTTGAAATTCTACAAGATAAAGACATTTGTCAGACGCTTTTTAGGCTCTGTTGTGCAACGAATTGTCCGCCATGGTCTTGTCAGTCATCTCGTCACATGACCGAGCTTGTGTTGGATGAGCTGGATGGAATTGAAGCGACCGTTATCCAACTGAATTAAGTGGTTTTTATTTCTATAAAAAGCAAAACGACAGTGTGTGAGGGTGAAGTTAGCATAGAATATACACTGTCATGGCACAAGATCTCGTCACACCCCTAATAATTAGCGCACTTTGTTGTTGTTCTTGTAGTTATTTACCTATTCCGGCTAATGCATGAGAAGTCTCGCACATAAATTAAATTATTTAAATAATGCTGAAATAAAAATGTTGCCTTGGCAACTAACTGAAAGCTAAATAGAAATATTAAAAAAAAAAACTAATTAAAGTTCAATCAAAATAATAAATAACACTGTTAATGTGCATGATCTCTCTTTGGATGGTACATGTGCATTTTTTTTCCTTGTATATTGTTTACTAGAATGCTTCAATTTTTTTTTTTTTTTTTTTTCAGATGGTGGAGAGCTGAAGATAAAAAAAATGGCTGTTTAAACGTCCTCAGCAACCATCTTCAGTGCAGTTTGACCATCTCGGTGGTATCGGAAAACTACCGACCCAGAGTCACGTTTGGAAAACTGACCAACCATTCTTCATTTATTTACCTTAATTTCAATGTGCATTTAAAGAAGAAAAAAAAGACGGAAGAAAAAAAACAAACAAAACAAAAACGAAGGGTACATTTGAGAGGGGGCTAAAGCAGTTTTGTTTTGATTCCAATGCAATATGGTGCGTCCGTAAGCTCCTGAAACTGATTATGGCTTTGTTCACCTTGGCGAGAAGGTTGTCAGTCAGCTGTTACTGTAATGAAACTCCAGGCACAAAGGGACTGGCTGACATGTACATACACGTGTATACATATCTAACTGTCTTTTATAATCCATTGTGGTACATTAAATTTGTCTTCCTTGACTTATTTGAATAATTTTAAAAATTACGCCAGTTAATATAATTTTTTTTTTATAGCCGCCATCCTGGTTGTAAATTGTCATAGTGTTTAAACTGCCCCAGGAAAAGTGCCACATTTTGAGGGTTATTGTTTGTTCGTTTTTGTTTTTTGTAATGCACTGTTATTCTTTTGTCATTGTTGATGTTTGTTGTTCTATGTTTGACTTTGGTTTTAAAAGCACAATCACTAAACTTTATTTTGAACCATGTTATTGATTAACCTTTTTGTCTTACGCGAGGGGTGCGCGGACGGTACGACAAAAGGCCTTGTTAAACCTGTCGATGTAGGGTTATGAAAAAAAAAAAAAAAAAAAGGATAAGCTGTTTACAAACGAGTGAATGAATGGAAACGAATCCCTGCATCCTGACCTTCGGTGTCTTTTCCAGATTCTCATTCCAGCTCAAGATATCCTGCAAAAATGAAAGAAATATACAGGAATAATGCAGGGATGTTATGTTTACGAAAGTATTGCTCCACCTGTGCACTTTCGTTATTCAAAAGAGAAATCATTTTTTTCGATTTACATATGCACTTAACAGGAAGTGGGTGTCGGTTTGAGAATCTGGGGTGGTCGTGATTGGCTGGCCGAGGACCCGGCTCTCGTGGGTTGGTTGTGTCAGTCACGCTCTAAAAGGGGTGAGGATGTGAGTGTTAATTCATTTGACATCTGCAAGCATTTGTTTCTTAAAACAAAAAAAGCATTAAAAAAAATGAAGAAAAAAATAAATCAAAATACTGAAACTGACCTGCTTGTTTTTTTTGGCTTATTTATGCATTACTACATTACTACTAGAGCTGCACGATTGATCCATGATCTCGATTCAAACACGCAAAATTCTTTATTAGTGAATCGGTCACTGAAACCATTTTTTTATATATATATAATTCATTCTACAACATTTTGTCAGAACCTCTAGTAAATTACGTTTTTTTTTTTTTAGTTGTCTGTTCAGAATTGTGGGAGAATCATGATCTCTATTTAAAACAAAATTTTTGATTCTCAATTTTTCCAAAATTGCACAGCTCTACAACCACCACCAAAAATCTATACACCTTTACATACACTTTTCAAAACTGTTCAACTTCAGTTCCAAACCTAACAAAATTTCTACAGTAACAGTATATATTGAAATATATTCTGAATCTAAAAAATTAAATGCTATCAACAGAATTAGATTTAGCCCAATTTCCACACAAGTATTAACCTTTCAATTTACAGTATATATATATTATTTTACAATCACAAGGAAACATTTCTCAATATTTAGGTCACTGTATTAAAATTCTTCACACAGTGATCACAACATCAGTCTATGTGAGCTAAACTGTGGATCATTTATCATTGCAAAATTCATTCAATGACTACATCTTTCACTTAGACAAACACCAATTTGCACGTTTACATTCTCCTCAAAACTGTTAAACTTCAGTTCAAAACTTAACAATACAAAATTGAATTGTAAGTCAGAAATTTGCTACATTTTTACAATAATGCCATATTGAAATAAATTCTGAATCTAAAAAAAATTAAACTATCAATATCAAAACAATTCAATTGAAAGATTAACACCTGTGTAGGTGTTCAGTTACATGTCATCAACTACAAAAAAGGGGAAAATGTATATAATTTAGGGAATCGTTTTGTACTGTAATGTAAACATGAATTATGTAACACTGCAGTAAATTATAAACTGCAGTGTCATTCTTGTTTTGTAAAGAAACTTTACTAAAGAAAATCTTGTATAATGCTACCTGCTGTTAGTGATTTTAGGTCATTGTTTAATGAGTGACAGTGTTTGTTGGGTGAAATCGTTGCTAGTGTTCCTGAAGAATGAGTTGGTTTGAGACATGAATTAAATGCTTGGGTAATTTAAGTGCATTTTGAATGTGAAATTAACTGCTGTGACGAGGTGAAAGTTGGTTATGAGAACTGTGTGAAGAGTTTTGAAAAAGTTACCAAAGTATTAAGAAACTGTCCTAGCGATTGCAAAAAAAACTAATTTTTTTACATTGGACATCAACAGAAAAGTAGCTAATACATATGTACTAAATCAAAATGTCTAATATTGCAATAAATTGCATGGGATCAACAATACGTAAAAGTATTTGCATACCATTGGTTGAATAGGGAAACTGACAATGCATAAATTAAAATTTAAAGTGTCAAAAACAAGCATTTTCCAGACTAAAACCTAAAACAAAGTATTAGCCATATAACACAATTTTGTGCCAAAATATATTGCCTTTTGAAATTCACAACAAACGATATGGGAAGCATTTCTAAGCCCTTTAAAACCTTGATACGCCTATTTATTTAGCCATTCTAACCATGCGATGCTACACATTTTTCACTGCACAGCAAGTCCCTGTGTTCTGTTCGATTTTGTTACATTCATTCTAGTTTTTTATTCTTAAAGACAATATACGAAGGCCCCTAATAAATGTCTTTGAGTAGAACCCAACACCAGCCTCATTATATCTGGATTCTTTAAGGCCTATTAGTCATGTAGGCAACCCACTAACAAGTAGATCTACTTGAAATGGTAGAGTGTTAAGCACATCCCCATTGAGAGCCACTGCACTATGACAACTATACGCACGCTTCACTTCCAAATCCACAGACAAATATTGGGACATACAGAAACTAAAATGTCAAACGCATGCCTTCTCCTGTGCATCTGCCAGGCGTCTTGATTGCTGTCAGAAAACGAGAGCAGTTCCCTACAGGTGTTCCCCTATTAAACACCTTTTAAACGAGAACAAATCTGGAGCGACCGAGAGCTTCCCCTCTGGCTCGATCCATCATTTTAATGAGCTACGGTGTGTATGCCGCGCACAATGAGGCACAGGTGATTAAAGGTAGTACACACGCAGGCACCGACTCTGCTGCAAATATTATGAATACATGTAGCCTAGAGATGAGTACATCTCCGTCATTATTATAAGGCGACATACAGTAACTGGCGACTCTGGGTCAATTCCGAGTCCCTCGTTGCTATCAAACACACAGCCGTTAGCTTCACCGAACTCGGGGAAGAAACTGGACTAATTTATTTGAAAACAGCATGTGCCTGACTAGAAAATGCAAGCTTTTGGTTTTTAAAACATGCACGGATGCAATGAAAAAGGAAATGAACCGAACATCCAATCTGCTTTCTGCTAGCGATGTTGTGGCGCTAATGAGCGTTCGCTAGCTAAATGAGTCGCTAAATCCGGAGCTAATACAGGCAAACATTCAGGGGTTTTCTGTCGATGTGTAGGGTTTAACCTAATATCCTTTGTTAGGAAATTCATGTCTTATTTTTCACCCAAACTGGTTTAATTAACCCCACACGCAAAATGGGAGGTAATTAAGAGTAACAGCTGCATGCTGTCAGGAAAGACGTCCTCCTGTCTCCCGGTGCCCACAGAGACCAGTGTCGACTCGATCCCACCTGCTCGCTCGCCCACCACCCGGCCTCGCTCCCCCGGATCGCCGCGGCGGGAGAAGCCGCATCTCTCAGTTTCATTTACAATGTCTTCTCTGTGGAGAAGAGATGACGGGATTTGGATTGGAATCGATTCATTTTCTTTCTTTCTTTCTTTGTTTTCCCTTCCATCCTTACTTCATCCCACTCTCTTTATACATATCTCCCTTCCTTTCTTTTCCATCCCTTCCTCCACCTCCTTTTCCTTCCAACTACAGCATCTCCTGATAAGATGAGAAATGAAAGCGTAGCGGAAGTTCTGCCAGGAAGACTTAATTGTTACGTCATTTATTACCTTCTCATCTATCCAATCGCGTTCTAATACGTGAAGTATAAAAGATCCATACTTACACTCTGTTACTTACACTTACACTGAGTTCGCAGATGCTGACGCTTCCACTTACCACCATCCTCCCCACCTCCACCAAGACGGTCTTCCCTCCATCCTTCCCACCACCACCAGGATGGTCCCTTCCAATACCCTAAGGGGGGTCGGCTGCGCCCCTGCCTTCATCTTCAGGCAGGAAATGCAGAATCCGGACCCTCGGATCGCGAGTTATGGACGGGGCCTACGCCAAAGAACTTTATTGCATATATTGCTTGCTGGGCTGTTAATAAAATGCATAATTGTACAGTATCTTCTCTCCCGAGTCTTTCTGGTAGAACTTAAAATAACAGCAGCTCATCACCCTGGAAAATTCCTCTGAACTTTGTGAACAAATTTGTCGAATTCAATTAAACCTTGGATTTTTCTCCAATCATCTGCCTCTCAGCTGTGTGGAGCTGGTCTTCCCCTGAGTATCTCAGCTACCAAACTGCAGGTTTCTTTTTTTAATAACTCCTTTTTAATAAGTCATCCCCAGTGCTCAGCTCTGCAGAACTCACTCCATCCGTGTTCAGACCTCACAATTAACCTGGAAGAACTTCACCTCTCCTCACCGAAGTCGGTCCCGCACATCTCGCAGGCTGACGTAACCCCGTGCGTCCCACCAGCCAATGAGTCACGGGCAGTTTTTCATCTACTTTATTATTAGTTTTCATCAATTACATTATAAGACTCAGTCAGGAAAAAATTTATGCAACTATCTCCCTGCCAAAAGCAGAACGCTTGAACGAGCCAAATCGACGGCGGATGACAGGAAGAACGTAAATGTGTAAAGCAATCAACAGTTGCTGACAAAGACATTCCATCTTAAAGGAAATGAATGGATGAATTATGCACCAAGATGTCTCTATAAACCAATGATTAAAAGGAATGACATGCCAAGCTGATAAATGGCACAATTCCTTACAGACCTGCAATGCCACATGGTAAATGTTAGAAGAACCTGTTAAAGCCAAAAGACTTTCAGTGAACCTTTCAAATTGTACATTAATCTACAAAGACAGGTACATGTTGAAAAAAGAAAAGAAAAAGCAATTCATAGAATCATTTCATATCTGAAAAGGAATTGTTCGTTCTTAGATTCATACATCTCTCCAGCATTGTGCTGGGTGATATAACGATAATTGTTGCGATATAATTTTCCTCGAAAAAACGAATTTAAGAGTTTAATACAATGTTTATGCGCCAAAAGGGGAACGAAACACCGCTACTCAGTTGAACCGCGCCACATTGACCATTTATCCTCTCGGCTCAAAGTTCAAATGGCAGATCTCAGTAACAAGACCGAAACGCTTGAATTCACAAACAGGAGAAACACTGTGCGCAACGATACAGTCAGGAGACTTCATTTAAACATGGATTTACTGTAGTAACACAAACTGCAACCATGGTATAGTGGCAGAAATGTGGCATCAAATTTTGGTAGGTATTAAAGGAGTAATGGAATATATTTAAAGTTTTTTTTTGTGATTAAGCTAGCCTATAGCGTTTGTGCAACTATACTAAATGCATTTAGGCTACTGTTTTTCATACAAATACTATAGAAACCAACAGTTACATTTTGCCATGTGGTGCTATGTGTGGTTTTAACTGTGGTTATCATGATCTAAATGTATGCTGCTATGGAAGGCCAATGGTTAATATTAATAAAACTCATGAAAATTAGGTTGTTGCAATTTTTACAGATGTAACCGTTTTCATTAATTAACAAATTTACATATGCATCCTTCCTAACTCAAGCTACTACTACTGTAAACTCAAGTTACTGTCAAATGTGCATTTCTAAGAGACATAACATGTGATATTATTAATATTGCAGCCTGCATTGAAAACTGTCCCAAAGATACGCGTCAAAGTCAGGCAACACAAACCTGTTTGTGTTATGACTTGAAA